TCACTCATGGTGGGCGACATCAACAGAAGAAGATATCATCAAATGTCAATCATGTGATGTGTATTGAGGACTTTAGGAATGGTATATTGGTGCAGAGCACGTTGTGCCCAGGCTTTGGAACGATGGTGTGCAACTTGTTCACGAGTAGACAACCAGAGTCGAATGAGGAAGAGAAGTGGATCGCAGAGTACGTCAGTGGCAGTGTCAACTCAATTTACAAGATACCAGTGCCCATATCAATGGTTGGCGAAACACTTGGCTTTGTCACCACAACAATGTACTCGGGCGCAAAGGCACTGGTGCTGGGCATCATTGATGAGGGCGACGATGGCGATCAGGCACCCAACCCGCACGCATCATCCTCGTCGCTGCCCACGGCAGCCGCTCACCATGACTCGCATGGCAAGTCGCGCTTCACCATCCATCCCCCATTCTCCACGATACTCAAGAGCTCCATGCACCTGGTAATCATCGCGCACAGTCCAACGGCCCCAGTGTTCAAGCCCAACATTCCTTCGATCATTAGGAAGATGGAGCAGGAGGACAAGGGTTCATCACACTTCTCCACACTCTTCAATCGTCTGTTCGCGCCTGATGAAGTTGGTCGCTCTCAGGAACTACAGGACGAGACATTCTTGCATGAAGGCCGTCATTTCTTCACATCGACCTACTCTCCCACGCAGGTTGAGATGGAGGACCTGCCCAATACAAGCAGTCCCTCAGCCTCACCACGTCCAACAGTATTCAATCAACCAAGCCAAGACCTATTGGCCAGCGTCGACCCTTCAGAAATTGAGGCACTGGAGGAGCCTCGACCAAACCCATTGCTCGAGCTATGCAGGACAGAGTTTGACAACAACTGGGAGGACTTCTTGTGCAATGTGATCGAGTCTGTCGACTCGAAGAAGTCGCATTTGGAGGAGATCGTCGAGGAGTTGGAGCCCATCATCAGATCGATCGAGAAGCATCAGAACCTGGACAACGACGACCTGTACGACAAGGAGGAGTTGCCCCAGGACAACTGGAAGGAGCACATCATCATCTGCGGCTCAGTGAACCGCATCGACCTGTTCCTGCGTGGTCTACGCCAGAAGCACATCGCCGAGAACCTCAATCGCTTCCACTACATCAAGAACCAGAAGGAGGACCGTGAGCTACTGCCGCCCACCATTGTAATATTGCATCCCGAGGAGCCGGACATGAGCGAGTGGGACGACATTGAGGACATCCACTATATCAAGGGCTCGCCACTCGAGCGCAAGGATCTGGAGATGTGTCGCGTGCACCTCGCCTCCAAGATCATCATTCTGTCCGACCCATACAGCAACAAGAACGCTTCATCCGTCACGTCAGAGACTAGCGTGCAGCTGGACTCGGCTACAATCATGGCCTACCTCGAGGTCAACGAGATGCTGGTCAACTCGACCAACAACTCGCTGGTTACCGTGGAGTTGGTGCACGAGCCCAATATCCGATTCATATCGACCAAGAGCACCAAGTCACAGATGAGCCAGAACACCAGACGCAAGATCAATCGCGATGACGAGGAGCTTGAGAAGCCCAAGTACTACATCACCAGTGACTTTGCCTCGGGCAAGGTCATGACGCTCACAACACTCGACTCACTGCTCTGCCAGGCAAATCACAATGAGTTCCTGTTGGATGTGGCGTCCGAGTTGGTGCTCGGAGTCAATGGCATCAAGCGCTATCACAAGAAGATCACATCGAGATATGACGACGACTACTCTGATGACTCTTATGAATATGGTTCAAGATACGATAGTTATGGAGATGATCACTCTGGTGATGAGTCTACACCAGGTGCTGCTGGTGCTTCAAACAACAACAACAACAGTGGACACAACAGTCACAATCATAGCCTCAACAACAGTCATCTAAACATCAATCACAATCATCGAAACAGAAGCTTCCTCAAGACCAACGTCACGCCCACCATGTCCAAGAGTAGCAGTCTTGTCAGTCTTCATCAATACTACCAAGACTGCCTACTCAATCAAATCAAGGTGCCAAACCAATTCCACGTAAGTCAAAGTTGATCACGATCAATCAATCACCTCCATACTCACTCATACTCTAATACAAACCATTAGGGAAGGACATACGGAGAGCTATTCGAAGGACTTGTTCAAAAGAACATCTTGGCTTTGGGACTGTATCGATGCAAAGAGATCACCGGCGCACCAAATCCTTATGTCTTCACATGTCCACCTGCCACGACAACTCTGCACGAGAACGATCTTGTGTACATCCTCTACAGACAAATAGAGACATCCAATCTCTAAGATCATCCATCCATCCATCAATCATCAATCATCCATTTACTTGCTGTTGGCAATCCTTTGAATAAAAGGAGTGCGTTACGCGTCTTCATTAACCAATCATCCAGTCCTTAGTTTGAGTTTGGTATGAGTTTGAGTTCAAGTTTATTTACAAGTTATCTTAACACATGGCAGTGGCATGATGGATGTAGGACTGCATTGGTGCAGACTCTACAGTTTGGTAGTGGTTTGATCCAGACTTGATTGAGACTGGAACGCTACGTGTTGGCTTAACGGTTGGTGCTGCCACACGGATTGGTGGTTGTACTGACGATGACTCGACACAGGAGACGTCAGACTTGGAGAGGTTAAGTGATTGCCATCTCACCTCAAGGTCCTCCTTGGCATTGACGGGCTTGGTCCACAAGTCGACCCAGTACTTGCCAACCAAACTGTCCAGCTCGCCCTCATAGCGGATACAGTTCTTCTCCTTGTAGTTGGCATTCTTTTTCTTGTCATCCTTCTCCTCCTGAACCTTTTTGGCCTTGGCTGGGGCCTTGGCCTTCTTTCCCTTGCCCTTGGTTGCCTCGTCCTTATTGGACCTCTTCTTGTTGTCGTTGGCAGGGTTGTAGGTGTATGCGGCGTACAGACGATACTTGTCGTTGAGGTACATGTTGTCAAGTTCAAACAGTGCACAGTCACTGTCATCCTTGCCCTGTTGGATGTTCTTCTGGTCCACCACCTTGGCAACTCTAATCTTATTTGTCTCGTCAAAGTAGTTGACAAACAACGTGAACATCTTGGTCGTGCCCATCTTTAGACGGTCGAGGACGATGCGCAGCTCGGTCTTGTTACCCTTGACAGCGACTGACTTAATGTCCTCGATCTTGGGCGCGGGTAGATCGTTGGTGTTGTAGTAGAACCTGATCGTTGGCGATACGATGTGGCACAGTTGGGTCATGGTACGAGTGTCGTAGACGTAGGTGGTGGTCGTGAAGCTCTTGGCGTCCGAGTTGTTGAGGAAGCGAGAGAAGGTTGGGTCTTGGGTGGAGACACCGTCTTCCTTGACCGAGGACATGCCGGCGTCCAACTCAAAGTGGAGCTGCTGGTTGACAACAGTCATCAGCTTAAGGTTCTTGGGGTTGGCCTTGCCCTTGATCTTGAAGACGAATCTGCCACAGCCCTTTTGGATGATCACCTTGGGGTATCTGACCAAGCTGATGCGCATCTCCTTATCACTGCGGTTCTCGGCCACCTTGGTCTTCTCAGACTTTGCGGTGGGCACTGCCTTCTTCTTTCTCGACGCAGTATTCTCCTTCTTCACAACAATAGACTTGTTGGTGGTCTTCTTTCTGGGCACGTGAATAGCTTCCTGCTTCACCTCGATCTCGGCCTCGGCCTCGGACTCTGGCTCTGACTCTGACATTTGCTCTGGCTCAGAGGACTGAGAAGAACACTCGTCCGTTGAGGCATCAGAGTAGTATATTTGGCGAGGTGAGCTGTCATAGCTCAATGGGCTCAACTCGGTACCCATCTCACAAAAGTCTTCTTGGGACATGGCAGCGTCCAAGTTGATGTTGATCAGTTGTGCCTCTGGTGACATAAGTTGTTGTTGTGCCATCAGTTGTTGTTGTTGCTGTTGTTGTTCATACATATGGTATTGTTGTTGGTTCATATTGATGGAAGCTTGTGTGACAGATGACAGGCTGGACATAGTACTGTTGTTCAGCCATTGGGTAGTTAAAACTGCATTGCTGTCGTTGGTTTGGTGATGGCATGGCAGAGTCGTAAATGTTGCTGCCCATGATTGGTGAGCTCTCGGCACTGTTTAATAACATGGCCGATTGGGTCATCATTAGGAAGTTGGATGCTGTTGGTGTTGTGGTGGTGGTGGACATTGACGACGAAGACGATGATGATGATGTTGGCTCTGGCTCTGAGAGTTGGAATGACGAAGCCAAGTCATGTCGGTCCTTAAAGAAGTTGGCCAAGAATGGTGCAATGTTGGACTCATACTGTGGATGCATGTATGAATGGCACAAATCAGTCATCACTGATGTCTTGTCATTGTCAGTGACACTATCAGGGTTATATAAGTTCATCATTATTAATATGTATGAATAGTTAGTTTAGGTAAGTTAATTAGTTATTATTTGTTTATGTTTGAGTTTGTGTTTGAATGAATGAATGACTGTCCGACAACTAATATGATACCATCATCATCAATTACCCCTGCACAAGGTCGTGTCAGCACCAGCAACACAGAAGCACGCACTATCACTCCCATCAACCCAACTCAAAACACAATTCGATAGCCAATCACTCAGCTCTCTCTGATGCATCAGAGTGTCGGGTTGGTCACCTGATGAATTTGAGTGAAAAGGTATGAGCGCAACTTGAGTTTCAAAGTTGTCAGTATTCCTCTCTCATCAATTTCCTCACTAAATTCCAAGTCATTCATACACGACACTAATCAAAAACTACAAGATAATTTCTTGCGAGCTTATGTTGGGTTGTGATGAGTGGTTTTCATCATTCGATTCAGAGTTTGGTTTAACCTTTGGATCCTGAGATTGGGTGGGTGTTGATGGAATTAGCAACCATTAAGGTACGTGTGCCCATTCCCAACCAGGGAATGCATGGTCCAGCTCAAATCTCACACCTTCAACCGGTAACATTACATAAATAAAAAAATGGATCCGATCACAAACAAAGGACCAATGAATGAGTTGGCTTTTGTGTTGTCACATGATGTTGTTATTGCCAGAGGTTACCCCAAGAGTTTGCCCCAATCACTTTAAATCATTAGAATGTGAGGTTTGCACACTCAATCATCAAACCCATTGGTCGAACTGGATTTAAGTTCCCATCGCGCCATCAAGGATCTTATTGAGCATCCAATCACTCGATCGAATGGATTGAGTTTAGTTTGACCCAGATTACAACTCAACTGATCAGCTGATTAACTGCTGTCCAGTCTTCATTATTTATTTACAACATTAGTCGAGGTCCAAAGGTTCTAATCTAATTCATCGATAATAATGGTGATGATGAAGATGATGAGGATGCTGAAGATGGAGCACCCTTCTTTAGCTTATCCATTGCACTGTCTCTATCACCAATCTCTTCGTATAGCTTTCTCTTGTTGTTCTTGAGAGCACCTTCGAATAGACCGACGATCAGTTGTACGCATGGTACAATCACTTGTATCAGCCAGAAGATATCTAGCATGGCAAACATGACCACCGTGACGATTTGACCGAATGATACAGTATGTGATGATGTAACATAACGGAAGAATACACTCTTTTCAACATCGACACGGAATGTGAACGAGGCTGGCGAGTCGTGGAATTGGTCGGGCTCCAAATAAGACGTGGCGTTCGATATGAAGCTGTAGTCCTTGTAGCTCTGTCGATCAAACACGCACTTCTCCACCATTGGTCGCACCAGTGTAAAGTCATTATTCGATGAATGTACATTACACTTTGTCATGAATGTTATCTATTTGATTGATTGATTGAATGTTAGTAGTGATTGGAATGATCCCAGATGGATGGACGGATACGTACCATTGATAACAAAGATATTGATGCAGATGGACGAAGGATGGTGTCTTCGAGAGGTTGGATGACTCCGGAAACATAGGAGTTGCCAGTGTTGATGTCCGTGTCATCATTGAGTGTGGACACATTGTAGACGATACGTTGTGCGTAGAAGTAGTTGAGCAGCGGTGTGATCTGGAATGAATAGGATGACTCATCTCCAAACTCTGCACCCTTGGCAATTGACACTTGGAATTGGCATACTGTGGCATTGTCCTCGATCTTTGATACGTTGGAGTAATACTGGAGCACCTGTGAGGCAACCATGTACTTGCACTCGCCCATGTAGTTGGGTGTCTGGCAGCCGGTCAGCACGAGGTTCAGCTCATCGATGCTGCAGTTGCCCGTGTAGCCGTACAGGTCGATTGTGACGCGCATCGGACTGCTGTCGACGATCTTGAGGTACTGGATCTCGTTGTAACGGTCGGCCAGGTTGGGGTCGGTCGACACCTGACCATACGATCGCAGCTCGATGCTGAGGTTCTGATTGACGCTCTGGAACTGGAACATGAACAGGATCATCAGGAACAGCATAAACAGGAAGAAGTACGTGCAGAAGCTCTCGACGGCCTTTTGTGGCACGACGACCATTCGCTTCTTGCGCACGTAGACTCCCATGCCACGCGTGTCGTTGTTGATGCCGATCGGGCGGTTGGAGGTGCGCTCCAAGTAGTCTTCCTCCTTGATGTGCGCCTCGCCTGTCAGGTCGTAGAAGTTGACGCGCAACAAGTTGCGTATCAGCCGAGATTGGAAGTTGGCGTAGCGCGGCCATGGAGTGCACACACTGATCGTGAAGATGAGCGAGATGCCCAGGATGACCAGGAACCACGGGTAGGAGTTGTAGAACGTGCTCTCAAAGTCCAGCTGGTCGGTCTGGATCGGGTTGGGCACCGACAGTGACGTGTAGTTGACAGCAACACTGTCAACGGGCCACACTGTGCCGTCTGGGCAGTACTGCTCGTGTGTACACGCAGGGTAGAAAGACTGGCACTCCTCTGTCGAAGAGATGCCCATGTTGTTGCCAGTATAGTAGCCCGAGGGGCACGGGTAACAGAGCTCAAACGAGCTGTTGGATGACGGGTTGCTCACCGACTTGTACTGGCCGGGCGGACACGTGCGGCATACGCTACCGACCGAGTACCATTCCTGGCCGACTGGACAGACGGTGTACACGTCAAACGCGTAGTTGACGAGCATCTCATCGATCGACACGAGGAACAGCTCCTGTGCGTTGAACGTGAAATAGTAGCCATAGTCGTACATCGAGCGGTAGTTGAGGTTGGGGATCGAGGCGAGGGTGTCGATACGCACCGAGCTGCCATTGGCCTGGAACAGCTCGTAGAACGAGATGAATGCAGGCTGTTCGCTGGCTGGCGAGCCGGGCGCCGACACCACCAATATGTTGTCGCTGATCTGCACGATCGATCCAAAGTTGTCAAAGTTGGAGCTGTTGCCACCAACCGAATCAAAGTACGTGTAGTTCGTCAATGTAATGTCGTCGCTAATAAATATGTCTGCGCTTGATTCCTCGTCGTAACCAATCACAATCCATTCCTCATTGATCGATATTGATGATGGGCAGGACCTAGAGAGTGATCGTGTGAGTGATTGAGTCATTGAATGGATGGGCATGGTCCACTTACTTTGTCCTGTTGGTATTGTACACTTCTGAGAGTTGGACGATGTGATGTGGATTGGTTACATTCAGGACGACGAATGCACTGACGTATTGTACACCAAGATGTGTCGAGTTCTTGGGCTGCATGCATACGGCACAATATGATAACGTGACCAATGTTCCATCCGTATCAATGCCCGTCACATACATCTGTCCACGCGCAGGCTGACAAGGATTGATATTATCATCCCAATAAGCTATCTCTGAACAGTTGTCAGCTTTCTTCTCGAGCTAGATATGTTGATTGGTATGATTGTTAGTAATGAGGTCAACATGACGATGCTGGTGCAGGGTGTCAGATGCTTACATCAAGGAAACAGAAGACTAGTGGAGAGTACTTGTTCGTGCCATCGAGTAGGTTGTTCTGACATGAGCTGACGACAAAGTTGTAGCCAACGGCAATGATGTTGCCTATTTGGCAGTCGTCCTGTCCAGTGACGTTTGGCTTATCGGGATTGATGATGTTGTTTTTCTTGTTGTGAGCATTGGTGTTGTTTGGTGGAGGTAGGAAAGTGATGATCTCATCACACTCCTTCTTTGAACTTGCGCATTCGTCCAAGTTGAATATATAGACAGCATTGTCACTTGGTGAACCAATTGCGCCAATAATCATTGTATCCCTCTTTGTGATTGGTGGCAGACCTGTTGAAGCTGGTCCAATGTCCACTGTCGAACCGTACTTCTTTGAAGGTGAACTGAACACCTGTGTAATAGTATATGGATTGTTGATAGAGTATGGACTAGATCAAGATTGATTGATTGAATGTTAGGGCAAGGTCAAGGGTAAGGGTATGAGGGAGAGAGATAACATACAGACTAACATTGTTCTTTGTTAAGAATGTTACAAATGGTATCTTTGAGTTGGGATTAGCACCTATTAGTGCATATCCATTATATAATGCAGTAGTCAATGAGTCGGCTTTGGTTTGTACAGGTAACATAGTGATCATTACGATCAATCCAATAAACATCAAGTACATATTTGTTATTGACAACATATTTCTAAAGTATGATCTTCTATCTCCTCTATAAATATGTTGTTGTTGTTGTTGTTGTTGTTGTTGTTGTTGTTGTTGTAATAGTACAGTAGTAGTTGATATCATTCTTGTACAAGTATATATCAACTATTGGTTATGTATATATAAATATATATCAAGAGTATAGATTATGTTATATCATCAAACATTAGCATTGTACAATGATGATGAAGTCCATGAACAAGAAAGAATGTTAAATGGAATAGTTGGATTCGTGACACCTGAATGAATGAACGTGAACAGATATTTATCAAATTGCGAACCCCGATGCATGAGTCCATTCTACATCTTTCAAAAGCCAAGACAAGCAAAGAGATAAAGATAATTTAAAGTCAACGACTATATAAAGTTTAATTATTAGTTGAAGTCGGATTGATTGATTGAATGATTGAATGATGAGGTAAAGTTGAATGAATGAGGAGAGGAGGAGGAGGAGGAAAAAGGTAGTAAAGGATGGCAACGCAATGGCTGACTGGGATACTAGAAATTGGAATGCATCAGTTGTGAATCGACTTCCAACTCAATAGCCGCTTGCAATATATCGAATCCACTCTTTCGTTGTTGTTGTTGGTCTAAGTTGATTGAATGAATGAATATTAGTAAACTTGATTACGAATGAATGAGGTAGAGAGCGACATCATACACAATGGTGTCACTTGAGATACATACCATAACCAGGTACACTATATTGGAAGTTGTTCTTCCTTCTCAAATAGCTGGTTCTCCACTCTCTCAGAATTGCATTCGATAGCCTCTCTTCACTGTTGTTGCCACCACTACTACTGCTACTGCCACTGCTACTACTGCTACTATGGCTACCACCACTACCACTATTATTGCCATTATTACTAATACTACTACTGCTGCTGCCACTACTATTACTATTGCTACCACCATTACTACTGCTACTGCTGCTACTACTACTACTGCTGCCACTATTACTACTACTATCTATTGGACTAAAGTTGACCATGGCATCATTGACGAAACCAGATCGTTCCAGACTTGATCGAAGTGAACTGATGGATGAGTCCTTGGACTTGATCATCTCCCTGATCGAATCAAAGTTGTCCAAGATGTTGTTGGGGACCATGTCTGCGATGGGTGGCAGATCAATCTTCTGATGCATCATGGCCGTATAAATGGGAGGGCGATGCGCCTGCATCTGACTGCTGGCTGGCAGTAGCTTGGTGGGCAGGACTCCAGACATGCCAGCTCTGACAAGAGGTCCATTGTTGTTGTTGTTGGCGCAGATCGTGCCAATATTTCCATTATTGATGCTGCTTCCATTGATGCTTCCATTGATGCTTCCACTACTGCTACCAATGCTGCTGCCACTGCTACTGTTGCTCAAGCTACCCTTGGGAGTGTGCGTGGTGTGCGGTGCTTCTATCTTGGTCTCTCTTGTTTGGTTCACTTTGTAGACCTCGCGACAGCCGACGCAGTCCACGTCGACGCCTGCGTCTCGCTCGCGCAGACAAGAGTGCAGCTTTCGACTGTGGATGTGTCGGGCCTTCTGATTCTTGTGGATGTAGTTGGAGTTGGTGTCGCAGTGGACGTGGATGCAGTTGATGTACTTGTCGTTGTCCTTGCGGTAGTCGATCGTCTGGATTGTCGTCCTGATGCGCTTGGAAATGCACTGCTGGCAGTTCTCGATGCATTCGTGCGGTGCATTGTGATGCTTTGATCGATTCTGCTTGTTTCTAAAGTTGATTGTGCACCTTGTGTTGTCCCTTAGCGTATGTTTGCATTGGAATGGTCTGTCCATTGTGTGTTTGTTTGTTTGGATGTTTGCCGGCAGAGTGATTGTGGTCTACGGATGGCGACTGCGGCAGCGACGGACAGAAGAGGCTTAAGAGGGTACCAAAGATTATCTTTAGATTGTATATAATATTATCTGTTGTTGTAGTTGTAGTAGTTGTTGTTGTTGTTGAAGATGAGGATGAAGATTAAGATGATAATGAGATTGCTGTCTACTGGCTTGATAGGAGGGCGCCAGGTGCAAGGTGGTGTAGTGCACTTGTGTTTTAGGATTGCAATGTTATTGGAGTTGGAAGAAGATAACTATCCAAGTGACGACTGGCATGCCATTCTGCTTCATAACCAGAGCAAAGAAAGGAGGAGGAGAGTCGGCGGCGGGGTGGATTGGATGTGTTGGTTGTGGCGACCAACTTACCGGGTTGTGTGTCTAATGAGTGAGTGAATGGCGGTATGTGGAGATGTAGCGCGGTCGGAGGTGCACATACTACCCTAATCTGTCAGCGGTGGTGGTAGTGGTGTGTCTGTAAGTAAGTAAGTGAGTGAGTAAATAAGACTAATTAATTACATCACTGTCGCCAACAACACCCAACCATCCAACCAACCAACCAACCATCAACTACTTACCCCGTCATCATCAGAACGGTCGTTGTCGCGTCGCAGGCTGTCTGTATCTGAGATTGACAGCCGGGCGGACACGCGTTGCCAGGGGTGTCGTACTAGTCGCCGACTGACGGCTGGAATTAATGCCGTGTATAAAATAGTGATTGGTCGGTTTACCCTTGTCACCCCTTGTCTGTCCGTGGGATGAGTGATCTCTCTCCAACATATTGGCGCGGGGAATTGAGTTGGTGAGTGTGTGTGTGTTGGTGTGTTGCCATCCGCCAGCCAACACACTGGCGGCGTACAAACACCCCACCGTGGTAATGTGTGGACAGACAGACGGATGGACGGACGGACGTACGGAAAGACAGACATGTGGGTGAGTGAGTGAATGAGGATGACTGTGATCGATGGCTTCCAATCATATGGAACACTGCCTTGACTTGACTTGACTCCATTGCACTTGAATTGTTGTTGCTGCTGTGCTGCTACTGCAACGCTTGAGTTTATCACTTGCGCAACGTATCTAGATATATTGGCTTGGCTGGCTACTTGGCTATGACGTGTGGGTGAGATGTGGATAGAGAGAGATCGCCGGACACACTCCTCTCTCACCTTATTTACCCTTACCTTCTTACCTTATCTCACATCGGACGACGCCACTTCCACAACAACCAACAACAAAGTGTCTCTTTAGCAAACACTCTGCCGTTGTAAGTGAATATGAATTGAATTAATAGTATGCCCAATCTACATTATTACTGCGTCGATTCGCCTGTTGTAGACGACAGTCTCCCTCCCCTGTCGCTCGTATTGTATACCTGTTGATGTCCGCCAATTGGCAACTGTCCTAAAGATGCTGTTTTACTATAACAAATGTGCGTGTATGTCATGTATGCGGTTGCAACTACTGCAGTCAGTTGTTGTTGTTTAGAACTTACTACCAACTAATATACCTGTATCGATCATCGTAGGTTGATTATGTTTCCGCAAGTGTAACCGTGTCCCCACACTACTGCTGCTGCTGCTGCTACCAGTTGTTATTATCATTGATTGTCAGAATAAGTGTAGAGAGTCTACAAGTTATTGCATACAGCATCCATTCAGGAGGTTGGTGCACGAGTTCCACAATGTCATGCCTGTCTGTCTTTCTGTCTGTCTGTTGGAAGGAATGCAATGACATTGTTACACCAACAACCACAACTGCAACAACAACTATTGGGTTACAAGTACTTAGAACAAACAAACATGGATGATGTACATCATTGCCAAGTACAGTAGTAGTTGGTTGGTTGGTTGGATGGTTGAACACGTGGGGAGGAGAGGACCGTCTTACAGTCATTAATCGATCAATCAATCAATCCAACCATCCCATCCATCTATCCATCTATCCATCTATGCATCACTTTGTTCGATCGATCAGTACCTCAATACAATGTAGCGGGAATGTTGATTGATATATCAATATGAATTGAATTGAATTGAATGATTGATTGAAGTATCTTCCGTAACTTTGTTCAATGATGATGTTGATGATGATAACTCATTGTTGTTGGAGCATTATTATTATTACTATTATTACTATGGTATCTAAATAGTTAAAAGAAGATTTGCGGTATTGTAGTGTAAAATCTGATTAAGATGTGTAAAAAACAATCAGTTTTGTTGTGCACAAGACAAAACAGTGCAAAAATGATATGATTGTTTTTTGGTGATCCCAGGACCATCCACAACAATGTTTGGTATTGATATGATCGTTGACACCTGATTACATTGTTGTTGAAGTTTCTTTAAATATTTCGTATAATAATATCTCTATCTATATATATATCTTATCTTATAATATACTTTAAAGTTGGGTGAGTGATTTAGTAGAGTGGACATAAGGGAAGATACTAGTATCAATCCCAACGAGAGAGCGAGACTGAGAGCGACCTCCTACACATCACAACCAACATCAACAATACAACATTGTAATATACAATACAATGGCAAACTATAGTTCGTCAGTAATTCTACTACTACTACTACTACAAATTCTATTACTATCATATACATCAAATGCCCAGCCATCTTGTTCAGGTAGGTACTAAATAGGCAGCCCATCAGTCAATCAGACCCGTGATGGCGAGGGGAGTTTGGGGAGCTAGGAGAAGGGGAGGAGGTTCCATCTTCATACCCTTCTTACTTTTCATACCTTACCTGTTTCGCGATATCTAACTAACATAAACAACTTACCAATCAATCATGTTATGTAGTTACTGAAAGCCCTATCATAGGAGATTGGGGCTTTTATAATGTTGCTAATGGACTGGCATCACCATGGCAAATATCAACGGCAACACTTTCGCCAGCTTCTCAACAAAAGTTGCGACAATCATTATACACAACAATTGCTTCCGATCATAATAATAATATTGATGATAATCAACTCAATATATACAGTGATAAATACACAAAATCACAATCACAATCACAACCTTTATCACACTCCACCCCGTCAACATCAACATCACTATCAACAACTACTATTACCAAATTAGGCGATGAACCTGTAGTATTCTGCACGGATGATCAATGTGGCTCATCGAAATATCAATTGATGGGCTATTATTATGCACTGTTCCCAGCGTTGCCGGGTGTCATGATGACACTTTCCCAGACGTTCACACTGTTTGACATCGACACGTCCAAACAGACATTCATCCTGGAGTACCTTGTGTCGTCAAGTGTGCTGCAGGCCGAGACATTCTCGTCGATGAAGGTACTGGTCGACGACACTGTCGTCTACGTCTCAATTGGCAGCGTAGTCTATGGTGACCTACAACGCATCAATCTCTTGGACTACATCAACATCACATCATCTGGCGCCAACGGCTACACTCATACTCTAACATTCGCTGCAGAGTTTGTTGGTAGCACGACTGGCACAAGTGGCCGCAATATCTGCACCAGCACAACAGGATCATCATCTCCATCATCATACTATCAGATATCGTCTGTTGTCGTCAGACGTGTACCACTTACCACGTCGGACTTGTTGAGCCAAGATGTGTACGTGGACGTTGCAAAGGGATCGGACAAGCAGGGCACGGGCGCAATAAACGCGCCCTTCAGCACACTGGGCACAGCGCTACAATGGACCACGCCAGGCTACACTATACACCTTCAGCCCGGCGTCTATTGTGGTCTGTCGATGGCAACGCCTCTGCTTCAGACAGATTTGAACATTCAATCAGTGAGTGGCGACCCCACCAACACGGTGCTGCACGGACAGTGGCTGCTGTCGGCCTTTCAAGTGGCCCCGAGCCAGCCCACAAAGGTGAGCGTGCAGGGCATCACCATCACCAACACCTATGCGTCGGCACGATCACCTGGAGGCGGTGCGCTCTTTGTTGAGGGCACGACCAATGTGACATTCACCAACTGCATCTTTTCAAACAATGTCGACTCAGCCAACCTTGGTGCGATTCTCCTGCGCGGTCCCAGCAACACTGTGCTCAATCTCGTGCAGTGCACCATCAACAACTGCTCAACTTCGACGTCTCAGCAGTCGACGCCCGCGGTCAATGTGCTCGGATTCGACTCGTTCCAAGCCCTGACCATCGCGAACTCTCAGTTCACCGACAACACATACTCATTGTTTGTCGATCAGACCAATGCAGTCGACATCCACAACACAACATTCGTGGGTACATCACGCGCATCTACATCACTCTGTTCAGTCCAGTTCTCGCGATCCGATTACGTGGCATTCCGCAACAACACATTGACGCAACACAGTAACTGCGCGCTGTGTGTGATCAACAGCAATGTATACATGGTGTCATCATCGTTCGATCACAACTACATGACTTTCGACGGCCCCGGCGCCAACATATTCGTCAGCCAAAACTCCATCGTCAACATCACGGACGGCTCGATCACAGACTCGACCGCGACGTCGGGCACAGCGCTCTTTGTCATGGAGAACTCCAACGTCAACATCAACACGCTGTACATTCGCGACGTGTCCACAGTGTCTAGCTTTGGCGCCATTATCTCGGCATCAGAGAGCAGCATGGAGTTCAATGACCTGACGATCGAGAACAGCACAGGCAACTACATGTTCTACCTGTTCTACAGCAATGTCAACATGGCCGCGTCGTCCATCACCCGCACGGTCGGTGGAATCTGGGCTACGCAGTCCACCGTGTTGCTGACTGACAGCACATTTAGCGAGATCGAGAAGAGCCCAGCGGAGGACTACATCTACCTGTACCAGGAGTGTCGCGTGTCAGTAACGAGCTGCACGTTCAGCCAGCACGGCGCGTCCACCATCCACTACCTGGCTCTGACTGTCATCGACCTAAATCAGATCAACGTGCTCAACAATAGTGGTACCTTCATCAAGCTTACGCCCATGTCTTTCGTCGAGGTGACGGGCGGTCAGTACAACTACAACATGGACTCAATCTTTAGCCAGCAGGGCAACTCATATCTCACGATCGTGAATGTTTCATTCGCAGCTAATCAGGCGGTGAGTGGCGCCGTGATCAATCAGCAGATGGGCGCCACTGCGTCCGTCTACTCGTCCATCTTCACCAACAATATCGTCAGTAACAAGGGTGGCTGCGTGTATATTGGACCGAGCTCGTCCACAACCCTCACCAACTGCACAATGTCTGGAAATCGTGCCGAGATGGGCGGTGTCATCGCGGCTGGCGACAACGCCACACTCACTCTCTATGGCGGACAATACTTTGACAACATAGCCGTGGAGGGCGGCGGCGTCATTTTCTACACGACGAACGTGCCAACATTCATTGACGTGCCGGTGTTCACAAACAACAATGCCACTTACGGCCCCGTGATGGCCACGCCGCCCACTTATCTCCAGCTGATGAGCCCTTTCCCCATCAACATTGTCTCCAACATCACGCAGTTCAGCGGCCGTGTCGCCGTCCTTGATAACCTCAACCAGGTCGTGGCGTTCTCGGAGCCAATGCACAAGGTTCTACCTGCAGATCAGTGGTGATACCATCGACCTTAGCTCAGTTATCAACGGCTACGCAGACTTTGACAACGTGACACTTACAGGCAAGATTGGCACGCAGGTGTACCCCGTGTTCCTCAGCAACGACCCAACACTCAGACCGTACCTAGCCAGTCAGTCAACGATCGCCGGTTGCACGCCAGGCTCCGAGCCCACAGTGTCCGAGACCATGTGCACTGTCTGTTTGCCCGGCTCCTACGGCTTTGACGGCGAGCGCTGCATCACCTGTCCTACTGTGGCCTATTGCCAGGGCGGCACCAACGTCGAGCCACGCCACGGTTACTGGTACGACGTCAACGAGTACCCGCGCAACATATATCATTGCCCAACACCGGAGAACTGCCTGTCCAACAACACGTGCGCGCCACACACATCGGGTGTGCTGTGTGCCGTGTGCAACGAGACGGAGAGCTACTACCAGTGGGGAGGCAGCTGCGTACACTGCGATCAGAGTTCAAACTACGTCGTGTTCGTTCCTCTTGTGGCCGGCCTAATGCTCACATTCTGGGCGCAGCAGTCAGACTCATCGTCGGGCCTGATGACCATTGTCATCTACTTTGCCCAAACGCTCATCATTATGGCGCGCACCGTGGACTTTAGCATCTTCTCCATTCTCAACATGCAGATCGACACAAATACCTTCTGCCCCGGACCCTACACATTCTACCAGCTGCACTACGCCACACTGCTCTCACCCGTGTTCCTCTCATTCCTCCTGCTCATGTCCACGCTGGTGCTCATCGCCTACTATCGCTTCCGCCCACCCACCGCACACAACCAACATGAGTCGTCTGAATCCATGAGCGAGCGCGGAATGGATGCCAACAGCAGCTTTGCCAGCAGACAGTACAGCGCATTGATGAAGGTAGTGCTCAATGTCTATTCGCCCGTGGCGTCAGCGGTCTTTGTGATGATCTTTTGCACGCAGATTGGCACTTCGTCGCCACCCGTGCTCGTGGCCAACCCAGCGATCGTCTGTGCCGGCCACCAATACCGCGTGGCCTACGTCGTCAGCTGGACGCTATTCACGCTCGTTCTCGGTCTTCCTCTGTTGCTAGGAGTGCTGCTGGTGATCAATCGCGACAAGTTCAACGAGCCATACACGCGACGCATCTATGGAGTGTTCACTCGCAAGTACAAACACAATCGCTATGCCTGGGACGTGTTGCTTCTGATCAGGCGTCTGGTGGTTGTGATCGTGTCGTCGATGGACACTGAGTCCGAGACAAGATCTCTCTGTTTTGTCATCATCACACTGGCATCAGTTATCCTTCAACTCAAGTACGAGCCATTTATTGGCGAGGGCGACAACAAGCTGGAGCTGACCTCGTTGATTCTCCTGTTCATCTGCTGCATCTACCTGGACAGCGACGCGTGGCCAGAGATCGAGCAGTACTTCATCATCATTGTTGGCTGCATCTTCTTGACGCATGTGATCATCACCATCGTGCTGCATTATCGCGACACTGCGCTCGAGTACATCAATCACTTCCTATACTACGCTACAAAGGGAAGACATGGCGAGAAGAAGATGGACTCTGATGACGAAGCCGAGTCGATCCTGCTGGAGCAGTCAATGTCCACTTCACTGATATTCGATCAGAACACAATCCATAACCTAGGCTTTGGTCGCTCAAAGTATGGCGCCATTGTCTATGACACATCAATCCACGACTCCAAGGATTCGGACAAGCGATCATTGTTGGCTAGCGACTCGATGGCTGAGGATGACGACGATGATGATATTGACGGGCCTTCATCATCCTCAAATGGTCGCCGTGAGCAATACAACAGCATTCCAGAGGCACCCAGCTCAACATCATTTGTGGAACTCGAGAAAGATGACAATCCATCAGGTATCCCAACAGTATACCAGAGTTAGCCACAGTCCTCACTTACTCAATCAATATATTGTATAAACTCTTTAAACGAAACGACCAGACATTACAACGTTTATTGCAACGAATGACAATCAGCGGTGACATTGAGTCGTGTTATTACAGAAGTGATGCTACGATCACTACCAATCCAGCAATCAAGACGATCGAGGTCGAGACTGTGGAGGCGGCAGATTTGTCATCAATACTCGAGCTCTCATCATCAAAGATGGATGGCACACGACCAAATGTAGTTTCCTCTGGTGTTGGCTTTCTGGCTGGCTTTCCAGATGGCTTCTTTGTGTCAGATGGTGATACCTCTGAGCTATCTCTCTTTGGTGGTCTAGTTGGTTTGGGAGTGGGCTTGATTGTTGGCCTCTTGGTAGGTGGTTCAGTGGGCTCATCCTCGCTTGAAGTTGATGGAGCTGGAGTCTTTGGTGTATCTGATTTTGGAGCTGGTGTCTTTGGAGTCTCAGACTTTGGAGCTGGAGTCTCCTCGTCAACATCCTCAGTTGGTGTCTTTGGAGTCTCTGGCTTGGTAGCTGGGGTAGAAGGTTCATCAGCAGCAGGTGCAGGTGCAGCTGGTGCTGCTGGTTCAGCAGCTGGTGCTGCTGGTTCAGCAGCTGGAGCAGGAGCCTCTTCAACAACCTCTGGAGCTGATGGTTTGGCAACTTCTGGAGCAGGTGCAGCCTTCTTTGGTGAGCTCTGACCTGGATTAAAGCAAGCAGTATCTGATTTCTCAGTAAGGAATCCGACTGATACACCTGCGTCACAAGTGTCAGAGTCGAAGCATCTTGAACATGAACTGTAGCATCGTGGCAGACAGTCTCTGTTTGTGTTGCATGGTTGATAGTTTGAGCAGAACTCTGACTGTGTCATATATGGGCTCGCATCATCGAGGGGACAGCTGATCGATGCGTTGAAAGCTGCCTTGGCATAGGTATACGATCGCTCGGTGAACCAACTTATATCCATCTTCTTCTCGGCACATACTGCCAAAGGAAGGTTTGGACAGAATTCCGACTTTCCTCCAAGGATAGGTACACATTGTAATGCTGCATTAGCCACGGCCAATGAAGCAACTATCAATAATGTATTGATAATAATTCTGGATACCATTATTATTATTAATAAATATTATTATAATTGTTGTTTTGTTTTGTAGTATTACTTTGTGTTTGATTGATTGATTAATTATTATTATCACAAAGGTACTACACTACTAATATTAAAGTGTAAACTTGTGTATGTTAAGATTACCTCTTACAAATGATCAGATTCTTAGCATACATTATATACCTACTTGATCGTGTATTCATGGTGAATGTACATTCATCCAGGATTGTGTAGAGTGGATGGAAAAGTGGATGAATCAGCCCATAGTGTGTGAATGATGAATAGAGAGTTTGAGCATCCATCTATGATGGTGTGGTGTGGTTGTTGGAATGATGGACTAAGTGATGGAGGGATTGAGTTATGGTGTGGGTTAGTGAGCGAGAGTGATTGAGTGAGTTAATAAGAGTGGGAACCATGATGCATATATATAAGTGTGATTGTCGGAGGTGATGGTACTTTTGATGTTCATCCAATATTGCAACGACCACCATAAGTTCTTATTGTATAGCACAGTGCACTCCACGAACATTCCCCATACACATATTCTACCAATCCTAATCATGTTGTTGATTATTATTACATTGAAGGAGAAGTCGTCGATCGGGTTGAGGGAGTTTGAGTTTGAGGAGGAGGAGGCAAGGCATTCTATTGGACATCCTATTGTCTCATCTTATCAACTAATGGCGCAAGGTAATCAAATACTTCGAGTTGATCATTCTTTTTCGCAATTCGTAATGCTTCATCTATCCTTCCTTCAGTCCTATTCGCTACAAGGAATTGTACCATTTCTAGATTACCTTTCTCTGCAGCTGAATTCATCGCATAAGGTGTACATCCTTGGGTGGTATTATCATGAAGGAATTGGACGACATCCATTCGACAATTTCTTGCCGCATTGTCCATTGTATGCTTTGTGCCACCCTCTGTTCTGTTGGCGTGCAGGAAACGAACAATATCCAAGTGACCTTTTCTCGCAGAGTTATCCATGGCAATTGTACTGCATCCCTCTGTTCGATTCTCGTGGAGGAACTTGACCACCTCTAGATGTCCATTCTTGGACGCATTGTTCATTGCGGCTTTGGTGCATCCCTCGGTGCGTGTGTGATGAAGGAACTGCACAATGTCCATGTATCCAAATTCAGCGGCTTGGTCCATTGCTCTAACTGTGCATCCTTCAGTTCTATTATGATGTAGATACTTGAGCATCTCGAGTTGACCACCCTTTGCCGCACTGTCCATTGTGTTTGAGGTAAAAGGAAATGTCCGCCTCTCATGGATGAAGTGAACCAGATCGTGATACCCCTCATGGGCTGCAATGTCGACCAATCCAGCTGAATACATGTCTGGTCTGTGGTACACAATGAATCGAAATACATCATTATGGCCACGTACTAATGCGGACACCAGTGAGTTCAATTCGCAGCCTTCTGTTCGGTTGAAGTGGAGGAACTTCACCACTTCAAGATGTCCATTGGTAATTGCACCTGTCATGGCCTCCTCGGTCCAAGGCTCAGTGCGATGCTCATGAAAGAACTTCACCATATCAATGTGGCCGTCACTCGCGGCCAACTCTGTTGATTGATCAGTGCCACTCTCTGTTCTATTCTCGTGAAGGAATTTGACGACATCCAAATGTCCACTGCCAGCACTGTAGTCCATAGCATCTTCTGTACATCCCTCAGTCCTGTTGTAATGGAGGAACTTGACCACCTCCAAATGTCCATTGATAGCTGCCAAGTCCAATGCTTTAACAGAGCACCCCTCAGTGCGGTTTTCATGGAGGAACCGGACCACCTCCAGATGTCCACCCTCGGCCGCCTCATCCATTGCCCGCACACCACAGCTGTCTGTACGATGAACATGAAGGTACCGAACCACATCCATATGTCCGTTGGCGGAGGCCAAGTACAACGCATCTTCTGATAACACCTTGTCGCCTGCAGTGCTGTGTAGATACTCTACAAGTGGGAGACAGCCAATGCGTGCTGCCCAGTCCAGTGCATCAGAGGTGTAGCCCTCTGTACGATGTTGTTGGAGATAGATGAAGATGTCCAATGATGCAGCATGGTCCATGGCATTCGTGGAGGCACCCATCGCACCATTTTCATTTAGGTATTGTACTAGATCAAGTCGACCAATTGAGGACATTGCATCTATTGCCATCATTGTCTTGAAGTCATTGGGTCGATGTTTGTGAATGTATTTGATGATGTAGAGATGACCCTTGTACGTTTCGAAACTATGATCAAACAAGAACTTTACAGTGCCTCCATAGACATTATTGATAAGGTCTAATAGTATAGTGTTTGAACATGATATCCAATGAGATACTACCTCCTCCCATCTCATCCGTTTCAATCCTTGACTATAACTACGACCATTATTATGATCATTCTTCAACAATAATGATGATTGTATATCATTAATACTACTTATAAATAAAAATAACTGTCTTGATATATATCTATTGTTTATCACTTGTTTGAATAATGTATCTTTATCCATTCTACAATTATTATGTATTGTTATCTATTGTAGAGATACATTGACCTTTTGTTAGTATTGTGACTAACGCCATTTTTTGAAGAATGTGTCTTTCTTTTGTTACACTCCATTCATTCACTTATCATTAATATAACATTCAATCATTGTTTCAGATAATCAAACCATTTTGGATTATGTGGATAGGTATCCAAATACATATTACAGATGTAGCAAAGGAAGCTAACGTCGATCAATCATTATTTACCATTGTGAATAGACAAGGGTATTTCAACGTAGGGGGCTTGTTTGATCAAATAGTTGATTGCGTCAGTCTGCAAAGAAAGAATGAATGTTGCCTGAATTGAAATGAGGGGAGACTCCAGCCATCGACATGGTTTCTTACGAAAAGGTAACAGAGAGAGACATCATCAATCAATAATGAAGATGTCTCATCATTGCCACAAAGAATCTTTATAACGACAAGAATGTATATCTACCAGACAACAACAAAGTTATTATTTAGTCTAGTCTTGTTGTTTGTTGCCGTATCCAGTTCGTATCAATCAAAGTCCAACAACATTTATTGTAAACTGTTACACTTACTTACACACAACATCAAATATAGATGTCAACTCATCATCATCATCAGAGTCTTTGGACACACCTTGTGCAGTGATCCCATATCAACAGATACAATTCTGCTGGACAACTGAGGGGCCTACAAAGTATGACCTAGGTTTGATGGCAAAGGCAGGCTATCCACTGCCAGAAAACGTGACTCAAGCACTCAACGAAAGAATCAATACCACCGACCCCGACAGATGTAGCTCCATTCCTACTAACACCACTGGCTATGACATGTTTGCCCAGGAGGCAATCGAAAGATTGAAATACCAACCTCTCAACATCTCTGCCATTTGTGCACAGAACATTGCCACCTATATCTGTACCAAGACTTTTAGATGTAAGTCTCCATGCAATGTATAACACTCTCCTGGGATAATCACTAATCAATACATGGCCATACCGCCATTGTGTCTAGATACATATCCGAATACCATGCCATTCTGTTCAAGTGTTTGCGATAGTCTGTACAAAGAATCATCTTGTGGAAATATTACAGAGATATTTACAATGGTATTTGGTATGAATTTTACATACATCCCAGCTACGTATGAAGAGTGTATTCAAGGTTCAGTTCCCGAGCATGGTGTAGAGAAGTGCTCAATACTATCGATGACTGGAAGACTTGATAAATGGGAGTGGGTTGGGACTATCAAAGAGATTGATCAATATCCAGGTGGAGCATTACATGGTACCCTACTAGGATTTGGTCTTCTCGGATCAATCTTACTTATTATCCTTAGTATTGGTTTAATCATGCGTAGCCAAGATTCTAAATAAAGAGTTGAGTTCTCCAAAGTCGTTAGAATCACTACTTTTTCAAAAATTTGAATCAAAGTCGCTTCAACAGACACATTCTTGTCATTCATTTAAACCATCATCAGATTGACAAGATAGAGATAGAGATAAGAGATAGAGAGGATGGATGAACAACAAGATAATGATAATGATAACACCAACATAGACATCGACAATAATGACAATATAGATATAACATCACCATCACCATCTACAACAACAACTACAACGACAACAACTACAACAACTGCAAACAAAGATGTACATAATAATAATATTAATAATGAAGATATAGTTGATGAAGATGAGATTTATGATGATGATGAAGAAGTTGACAATGAGGAAGAGGTAGATGATAATGAGGCACCAGAGGATGAGGAAGAAGAAGAGGAGGAGGAGGAAGATACACAGATTACAACACGCACACCAACAAGAGCAAGCAAAGGAAGGATGATGACGAGAATGGCAACTAGAAGATCACATTCACAAGTTGAGGAGCCTGTTGAGGAGGAGGAAGAAGAGGAGGATGATGAAGAGCAGGAGGATGAGGAGGATGAGGAGGATGACGAGGAGATGGTCGAGCGCATCGATGATGAGAGCGACTCGCAAGAGGATGACGACGAAAGCAATGATGACGACGATTCAGACAGCGACGAAGATAACACTGTTGCACGTGGCAAGAGCAAGAAGCGCAAGCGTGGACAGAATGATGATCAAACGGACGAGCAGCAGGAGGCCGACAGACAAGCTGCTGTGGCCGCCGCGCAAAAGGATGTGTTCCGCATGCCTGAGGACTACCTCATCCCAATCAAGATCGACCTGCAGAATGGAATCTACCGACTCTCCGACTCGTTCCTTTGGAACTTGAATGAGCAAGCGATCACACCAGAGCAGTATGCCAAGAACCTCTGCATGGACATTGACTATCCCGAGTGGTTCGACGAGATGGTGGCCCAATCAATCATCACTCAAATCAACTCACATCGCGAGATCATGAAACGACTCGAACAAATGCTGCCTCATCTCGGTAGTGAACGTCTTGTCCCAATATTCGTAAGTCCATCATCATCCTCACTCGCGATCATGAATACCCGACTCACTCATTCAATCAATCAATCAGCTCGACCTCACAGTCAATGGACTTAACCTCAAGGATCAATTCGAATGGGACTTGTTGTCATCAAACAGTGTGGAGGCTTTTGCCAAGTCACTATGTCTGGATCTGGGACTGTCGCGAGAGTTTGAGAATGCTATATCATTCGCCATTCGCGAGCAGATACAGTTCTACTTTAGTCAGCTGACGATCAACCCCGAGAGATTCCCTGTTCGTCCACCACTGGGCGTTCAACAGGTGATCCGTAACGACTTTGAACTGCTGGTATGGACGCCATCCGTGCAGCGACAAGGTCATACACCATTCCCCTTCCCATCAATCATGATACCTCAACATATGACTCGCAAATAAACAGCGTCATCAACATCATCATCGTTGTGTCAACTAGAGCAAACTACAAATAAACAGCATTGGCTACTTGGCCATGCTGTTTGTTTGAAACATTGTTTAATGTGTATACTAACTAATATTGGACAATCCTGGACCCTTTGAAGGGCAGGAGCTACTTGGCGAGACCCTAGGCCTAGGCCAAGGCTAAGGTCTCGCCAATCCAATTGAGCGAAAGAGAAGGTGGATGATGGAAAAAGGAAGGAAGTCGAACTGATTGAAGGTGATAGGTTGAATGAATGGTCCACAAACAATGTGTTTAGGGACCTTGATAGCTGTTCTCTGCACTAGAGTTGATCAAATGGATGTTGGGTGGAAGGTTGACTGTCAGCCCGTAGGATGATGGCAGGATTGATGGAGTCATCGGCAGTGAGTTGGGCGGTGATGACGATGGCGAGTGTATGGGTGAGCCAGAGTGTGTTGATGAGCATGGTGATGAAGACGACGACGAGGACACCGTAGACGAAGAGGTGATTGGATTATCAATGTCGATGCTGGACGAGTTGGACACGTGGGCAGAGTGGTTACGACCGTTGTTCCTGAATCCAAAGCCCATCTTCCACTTGGGATTGTTATGTTGGTTTTGTTGTTGTTGTTGTTGTTGTTGTTGTAGTTGATGTTGTTGGTTGGAGCGATGTCCATGTCCATGATGATGATGTTGATGTTGTTCAAGTGTCGAGTATGACTGTGATATGATGCGTGGCTTTGGTTGTTGTTGCTGTTGTTGATACATGTTGTTGGTCGTATTTACAAGGTTGTTTGGTGGAGTGGACAGTGGAGACTCCAGCTCATCCAGCTTGGACTCGAGCTGGAGGTTCTGTAACAGTGCCTCCCACTTCTTGATATTGTCCTCCAATGCCTTTTGTATCATCTCCTTTGTGATCTTGCCCTTGGAGCTGCTGTGATGATGGTGATGGTGATGATGGTGGTGATGGTGATCGGGCTGCATCAACTTCTTGATGCCATTGCATATCTTGATGTACTCCTGACTGCGTTGCTTCTCCAGGAGTGAGAGATCGCGGAAACGATTACCGACGGAAGCCTGTAGCATCTCGTCCAAGCTCTTGCCAATCCTGGTGTAGAACTCGTTGGCCTGGCTCTGCAACTCCATCAGTCGCTGTATATCTTGCTTGGTCGTCTCGTCCCTCTTCCTCTGCTCATCCTGCTGTTGCTGCTGTTGTAGTTGTTGTTGCTGCTTTGATGGCGAGTTGACCTCGTCGTTGGACGATGTGATCGATGATGAGGACTCTGTCAAGATTGACACGGACTCAAACTCCATGTCCAACTCATCAATATTATGTTGTTGTGATGAAGAGGATGAAGAAGGTTGTTGTTGTTGCTTCTTGGGCTTTGAAGGCGAGGACTGCTCGACATCCTCCCTCTTATCAAACATGTTGGCCATCATTGGATTGTGCATCATCATCATCGTTGGCATGGACTGCGAGGAGATGTTGTCGCGGGATAATGACAGACGCTGCATTGTATCACGTCGTGAAGGTGATGAGGTATCATTAAGTATGATTGATGTCCTCTTCTTGGCCTCCAACTCCTTCTGCTTCTTCTCCATAACCAGTTCCAACAGCTTGTCAATGCCCTCTGTGATACCAACTGTGATTGATGGAGATGTTAGACGATTGAAATCGTGTCTGTTTGGCTAAAGGGTGTGGACTTACCATCTTTACGACAACTGGTCATCATCCAGAATGTATACTCGCAAGCCTTGCAATACTGTTGTGTCAGGGAAGGTAGAGGTTAGGACCTTGCACGTTGGGAGAAAGATAACATGTACATACATTGTCGAGGTCGGATGTTGAGATTACTGGATCGCCTAGATCTGACTTGTTGGCGAAAAGGGCAATGGGGACGCGATGATCTAGGTCGTAACGGCGTAGTACAGTCTTCCAATCATCGATGGCAACAATGGATGAGGCGGTGGTCGAGTCGAACATGACGATAATGCCACCCGCACCATGGAAGATTGAAGACAAGTGCTTGCCCCTGATCTCTGCATGAGCCACATCAATGAACTGTATATAATAGTAACTATTGTTGTTGTTTGCTACTTGTGAATGGTCCAATGCTTCCATTACTGCTTGCCAGTGAACTGTTGGAGCCAGAGGTGGTACTGGAGTTGGAACTGGAATTGGAGTTGGAGTTGGAATTGGAGTTGGAGTTGGTGTTGCCAATGTGTGATGGACCTCTGTGCTCGGACATTACACAACGCGCCAACTCGCATGAACACTCATTGATGTTGTTGTTTGGAGTGTTTGGTTCAAGTATCAATGTGGACAACTCTGTGCCCACTGTCGGTATATAATTGCTCGTGTAGCATGCCTGTAAGTATCTTCTAATCACACTCGTCTTGCCAACTTGTGATCCTCCGACGATCTAAAGTGTGTTGTTGGTCGCGTCCAGGCATTAGTATCTCTCTACCTTTGTCTCATAATCATCTACATCATCAACATACAACAATCTTTAGAACGTGCTCTATTGGCAACTCTTGGTAACGTGTCTTTGGCGAGGAGGATGTGGATGTTGGTGGCGAGGCGGATGCTGAATCGAGGCCAGCTCTGGATGGTGTGGAAGTGGCTGTTTGCTCACCAGCCGTACTCATTGAATCATTTGCACTTGATGAACAAGTAGTTGATGATGCATCCAATGTATCATCCTTCCTCGATGACCAAAACGAGTCAAAGAGTTTACTAAACATGGTCTGTTTGTTTATCACTGTCTTCTCTGTTTATCTCTATGAGTATGAGAGTATGAGTATGAGTATGATTTAGGGCTTTGCTCTTGCTCTTGCTTGTGAGCCAGAAACATACACTTGTAGATGGACAGGGTAGGTCTACCTTTGTTCTCTCTTGTTCTCCTTGTTCTCAGCTTCAGTTCAACAGACACACGAGTCGCGAACACACACACACAGTAACAACTCTTGTTGGAGTCGACAAGAACAACCACACAAGCAAAGAAAGTTGCAAATTGACTTGATTGAGCTTAGTGTGTTTGTGTTTGGTTGAGGGGTGGTAGTGATCTAGTGATGTATGAGAGGTAGTGTTGTGTACCTAGTGATGGACAGTGAGTTCCGGTAATACAAATAATAAGGTGTGTTAACCAATTGGTATATATGTTGGTATTTAAAGTTGTAAAGATGGTGATGACTGGAATGAATGTTTGCAGTGTATTACGTATGTAGACTATGATCAAGCTGTTTTTAAACCTTAGACAAAGTAAAGTGATCGTGATCAAAAACTTTACAAAGTTGGAAACTTCATATGAAATCGTCTCCGAGTGGTGCTGGAACCTTGGTCCCTGAAGGCGAATCAGTCCCATTATGGAAACCCCACTGATCACTTTTTTTTCTTTTTCTGATCTCCAGCATCTAAAGTGATGATAACCTTTCTACGAGTATTCCATCTACATCACATAGGTGTCTCATCAGTTTTGTTTATTATGATGAATCATCATTCGTATTAGTGGTGATGATTGGGTGTTGTAAGAACCAAATGATTCGTCAACAGTCGCCTACACCAAGCCCATTTGTGTAGAACGTTGTTCATTGATATGCATTTATTTAATGAAGTAAACTTACTTTGTCTTATCTCTTGTATAAGTTTATTTATTAATAGAATAACCAGGCGAGGTGACCATACCCTGTACATCGCTCATTCATTCTTTTGAAAAGTTGTTGCAATAGTGTTGATCAAAACGAAGGAGTGCGCGACTCCCTGATCACCCACACACTCAATCACCCCACTGTTGGCAACCTCATGCTTGCATTGTGATCCATTCATTCATCACTGAGTGACTGACTCAATCATCACTTTATTATTATTATCATCATTAGAAATAATAACAACAAAGAAAGAGAAGAGTGATTGATCACTCAATCAATCAATCAATCAATCACATAAACCAATCCAATCATGAGCAGCAAGAAAGATAAGAAAAAGTCATCGTCGTCGTCCAAACATAAGAGGACATCTTCCAATAGTTCTCAGGCATCAGATATTGAAGCCTCGGATCAAAGCGATAATGAGACATTGCAAAAGAAATTCAAGATGGACATCAACAACGAACAGGCATTGGTCACGATGAAGTGTTCACACAAGTCCCGCAAGGGAAAGCTGCGCATGACCGAGCAACACCTGTTCTTCCTGGCCAACGTCCAGCTGGGCCTCACCAAAAAGAAGACGATCGCCTTCAGTCAGCTGCTGGACATGGAGTTTGATCGCAATGGTGTAAAGTTCACATTGCGCGAGGGCAAGTCGCAGACGTTTGTATTTGCCGACAATGAGGTGGCAGCCAATCTGATCGAAGGCCAGTGGCGCCAGAGCGGCTACAGTCGTGGTGCCGTGCGAGTGGACCTGCTGACCAACAGTCTCGAGGACAATGTGGCGCCTGGCGGCTCGCGCAGTCGCAGCAACAGCACAAGTAGCGTGGGCAGCAATCGCTCCAGTGGCAACTTTGACAAGGAATCGCGCCAGCTTAACCAGTCACTCACACTGGAGGGTCGCATCAGTGATACCTATGGCAATGATACGGAGCGTGTCACTCAATCACTTCGTCGCCACTTTGATAATGTGCCACGCGAGGAGACTGTCGTGCGCGAATATCAATGCGGTCTCAAAGGCGCACTAATGACCAGTCATGGCAAGCTATACATCACTCAAAGATACCTATACTTCTTTGGAGGATTTGGTGCCACTCAACAAAAGGTAAGCCTCAGGCGACCATCCAACTTCAATGTCCATATATATACTTGGAATGATTCCGATCACATGATCACTGACAACTTTCCACCTCATCCTGGAACCATTCCGCCAACCAATCAAACATAGTTCCACTTCAGACTACTTGAGATCATGGATATTTGCATCCCAGAGAAGAGCAAGAAGTCAATACTTCTCTCAAATAGAACCGATACAGTAAGTAGCCATTTTGGTAGTTGTCGCGCACGTGACCATCACTCACTCACTCAATCAATCAAAGTACATCTTTACTGGATTTAAGGATAAACGACAGAATGTGATCAAAGCATTGAATGATTATATGTATGACGCCAAGATGGTTGCTGAAAACATGGTGATCACACTGGAATCATCACAATCAAAGTCAACTGGACAGTCAAAGGCACTTAACAATGTCGAGTTCATCAACAAGTCACAAGAGACAATACAAGAGTTGATCAACAGTACATTGAATCCACTGGCAGCCTCAAACTCATCGGCATCCTCCCAGACCTCAACATCATCCACACAGCAACAACCACAACAACAACATCCTCTATCCGCGTCACAATCATCATCATTGAGCAACTCCCAGACGAATCCTGCTCAAACATCATCATCATCACTTTCAAACTCACAGACTACCAACTCCCCCGTCACATCCACGGCGGCGGCAACCCAATCCTCCACATCAACAACACAGACTACGACCGCGCCACCAAGTGAGCCGGCAGCGGAAACAGGAACAAAGCCAGCCAAGGCCAGTAATTGGATACGTTACAAGTCCAAGTCACCAAAGGATGGCGCAACACCAACAACAAAGACACAACAACAATGGACACCTGGAACAACGTCACCCAAGTCGGGCAGCGTATCAGGATCAGAGGTGTCTTCGCCCAGGGCGTCGACTTCCACGGCACCCCAACAGCCCACAAGCACTTACAACTCGCCACCAGTGACTACACCAGCAATCATGTCGGCCAAGGCCAACGAGGTCAAGATGCAATCACTAGATGTGGCACCCAATCCCTCCACTCCCCTCTTTATCAAGCAGCAAAGGAAGCGAAGATGTTTCTGCTTCTAACCTTGTGCGCGAGCGCGCGCACGCGGGCATGGATATGGCATGGACAATGACGCGTCCACCAAACCCAATCAAATCATGTATATAATGTCGGCTGGCCAGACGGCCAACTAGACTCCAATGAAGAAGTAGTTGTAGTAGCAATCAATCACTTGTGTATTGTTTATGTGTATAGGTGTCGCGCCCCTTCTCGTTATTATCTATAAAGAAGGAGTCATTGGGAGAGGGCGTGTGGTGGGGAGGAGGTGGACGGCCATGGGGATGGCGGACGGAAGGACGAACCGGCGGACTTGGACACCTACATGGGGAACAGCGGGTGCTTGGACACGCGCACCTTGGGTATGAGCGTGTTGCGGAAAAGCACGAACGGTTCGACCGAGAGGAAGACCTCTAGCTGGCTGGCGACCTGCAGGTCATGGTCGCCCTCGTCCAGTGAGTCGAACTCGTTCTTGTCGCAGCTGATCTCCATGTTGAAGTCCACCAGATAGATGATCAAATGTTTGGAGGGGATGGCCAGGATGACGGCGGGAGTCGTGATCGGGCCGTGCTCCCACAGGTAGAGCGCCAGATACAGGGAGCTGAGCTTCTCGGAGATCTTGCGCTTCCACGAGATCTCGTTGTAGCGCTGGCACAGCGTGCTGAGCTGGGGGCCGATTGGCAGCGACTCCTTGAAGCGCGCCAGCGCCGCTGGGTCCTGCCAGTAGGGCTTGATCGTCAGGTCGGAGGTCCACTTTACCTCCTTGTCCAGTTGGAGTGAGAGCACTCGGTGAATGTTGACGTCCATGTATCGACGTATCGGTGCAGTGAAGTGTGTATATTGTGCATGGTCTTCGTTGGACGCCATTGATGATGTTGATGTTGATGTAGTTGAGGAGTTGTTGTTGTTGTTATAGCTGCCTTGTTGTTGTTGTAGCTTGTCCAACACGGTTATGTATCGGGTGGGATCCATCAGATGGATGGTTAGACGGCGAAGTGCCTGCATCTGCTCATAAGAGAGTAGCTTGATGCACTTCTCGACCTTTTGTTTGATGACGCGCCAATCATCGCTGGGCGCGATCGATACCTCGTTGGTGAACTGATGAATAAAGATGTTAATGCGATCAAAGAATCGCTTGCGATTGTCCAGCTGTGAGGGTGTGATGTGCAGCGCGGCAAGTTCGTTAGACTCGGCCGTCTTCTGGGCCAGCGAGCATGGCGCATAGATGATGCCAAACTCTGTGTTGTTCTTTAGCAGCGAGATGGCCGCAACATTGTTGGCCAAATGCATGTATTCCTGAACGAGGACGTGGCTCTCTAGCTTTGGCAGCAGGTCGACGCGGAAGGGTGTGCCATCGACTGCCAACTCATATTGGATGTTGAGGCCAATGTCAAAGATCTCGCCTCTGTCACGTCGGATGTTGTTGAGCAGCGAGCTGACCAGGTACAGGCCCCAGATCGACTTGCTCACACGCTCCTCCAGAGACTTGCTGCAACAGTTGACAAAGTCCACTCTTTCTTTGCAGACATGGTCGAGATGGATGCGGTCAAGTATCTCTTCCAGACTCTTGCTCGAATCCTTGATGTTCATCTCACTTGCTTGATTGTTCTGATAGTTGTCAATGCATGCGTGCTGTTGCTTGTAGCGATTGATGGTCTTTTGTGCCTTCTCATAGGAGAGATGGCCCAGCGTACGCAGGAAGCTCTTGGCGAATGTGTAGGCGATCACCTTGCCGTCTGAGCGAATCTTGACGAGCAGGGAGAAGCAGAAACGCTTCTGGAACAGTCGCAGACTGCACGTGTTGGACGACAAGTTCTTGGGCAGCATAGGGATGACCGAGCCCACGAGGTATATGGCGTTGAGACGGAACTCAGCCTCCAAGTCCAGCTTGGAGCTCTTGTCGAGGAAGTGAGACACGTCGCTGATGTGGATGCCCACCTCAAACACGCTCTTGCCCTCGTGCTTCTCATCTAGCACTCGGAAAGACAGCGCGTCGTCCAGGTCAGTAGACGAGGGTGGGTCGATCGTGATTGGACAGAGATGCGTGAGGTCGATTCGCTGCGCTTCTTCCTCCTCTGAGGGGATCCAGTCATCGTGCATGTCGCTCAGCTCTTGTGGGAAATGCTCCGAGTGGAACACTTGGTGATTGAGCAGGATGCAGCGAGTGATGGTCATGGCGTCGAGGGGAGAGCCCGAGAAGAACTGGATGTTGCCAATGGCGTAGGAGTTGTCCTCGGAGAAGTCGGTCAGGATCAGCATGGATAAGCGACCACACCGTTCGCGCATGTGGGACACACTCATGTTGGTGATGAGGTGTAGTAGTGGCGTGGACTTCTCGTAGCACCAGAAGTAGTAGACGTGTGGATGGTCGGGGTTGTGATGGTGGTCGCCATTCATTGATCCCAATCCATTGTTGTTGCCGTTGTGGTTGCTGATGTTGTTGTTTAGCGAGCCATCGTGTGAGGAGTGGTGTGTCTTGGCGTGCGAGGGCGCAGGGATGTTCATCTTGTCCTCATGGTCCCTGATGAAGCCCGTGACTAGCGTCGCCTTGGTCTGTGGCGCGTTGAGCAGGTTTGACTGAGAGAACAGCGCAGGGAACTTCTTAAAGTTGAATGTCGAGATGCGCTGCAGCGTGCTGAGAGAGTTGGCTGGGTATATTAGGATCTGGTCATCGCGGAGGCCGTCCAGTATGTTAAAGTACTCGGCCTGATGCGAGTGATTGGCGTGGTGATGGTGGTGTTTGCCACCAGCGGGCGACACTGGCGACATGCCAATGGGACCGTGGTGATAGTGTTGATGTTGGTTGAGTGCCATTCCCCTGGGCATCGCGTAGTCGTCCGACGACAAGTACATCGGCTCCATTGGGATCGATCCATTGAGATTGAGTGATGACTGCACAACCGCATCGTTTACGCCTTGATAGAGGATGGGCATAGAGGTGGCCAGAGGAGAGATGGTTGGCGTCTGTGCCTGGTAGTATTGGATTGGGTCGTAGTAGCTCTGTTGAGGGTTGTGATACAGGCTGGCGGGGATGTAAGATGATGCAGTGGTTGGGTCGATGTAGGCTGCAGTGTGTTGAGGTGCCGCAGCAATGTAAACTTGTTGTTGTTGCTGCTGCTGTTGCTGCTGCTGTTGTTGTTGTTGCAGTTGTTGAGCTATCGGTTGACCTTGGATTGGTTGTTGCGCTGCAAACAAAGGGAAAGGGTCTGGAGTCGTAGTCCTTATCACAGTCTTATACTCGCCATTGAATAGCAACTTGACACAAGGTTGGCCGCCATTCTACATCCATTCAAAGTTTGTTTGATTAGTGATTAGTTGATGCGCTCACTCATACATTCCAGTGTCCGTCCAACTTACATCAATCTTACGCTTGCCTAGGACGTTGTAGAAGACCTCTTTGGCATGCTCGGGCGAGTTGAATAGCACGTAGAGCTGGTTGGGCTTGGCAGACTGGCGGAACTCAAAGGGACGCGAGGTGTTGAGGAAGTTGATCAGGTGCATCTCTTGCATATCGGGCACAATGTTGTGGATAAAGAGTGATCGGGACGTCCACTCGGTGTTGTCCACATATGCCTCTTTCTTAATGATGCTGTCACCTGATGTGTTGCATGATGATGATGCCGTCGTGCCAGGATGATCAATCATTGTTGCTGATGTAATTGGTGAGGATGCTGATGATGTTGATGGAGTTGTTGGGGTGGCCGTGACCACGCCATTAGTCGCCTTCTTCTTTCCCTTGCCACCACCGCCACCGCCGCCACCGCCTGGGGATGACAGACCAAGCTGTAGTCTGCTGGCGGCCTGAGGTGGTGGGGTCGATGCCAGAGGTATTGTAGTCGTCGTCATTGTTGTCGATATCAATGTGGTTGTGGTCGTCGGATGAAGAGGCTGTATCGACTGTGAGAGCGAAGCAGACTGCTTTACATGTCCATGATGTGGCTTGGGTGAAGCGTGCAATGAACCTGTTGGTATGTATATATTATTATCCATTGCCGATGCTGGCTTAATGCTACCTATTCTATGTCCACCACTTCCAGCGCCTCCACCTCCTCCACCTCCAAGTGGAGGTCCATTGTTGTTGTTGTTGATATTGTTATTATTATTATTATTGTTATACTTCTTGTGATTGTTTAGGTTGTTGCTGCCGCCGCTGCCTCCACCGCCACCGCCACTTGGTTTGTATTGTTTGCCTGGTGCAACATATGGTTGTTGTTGTTTAGGGGATGAGTATGAATGACCACTTGGTGATGATGATGATGGTCCATTCATTGTACAATTGATTGATTGATTAATTGGTTAATTGATTGATTGTTGGTTTGGTTTGATTGGTTTGTTGTCTGTTTTGTTTTGATTTATGTGATGGATGATCAGGTGACGTCACTTATCGATTAGTTGGTGTCTGTGAGTGAGCGAGTGAGGTGAATGAATGAATTAATGAATGCGCAATATAATGCGCTGGTGAGGTGTGATGATGTGACTGTTTGTTTCAATATATCTTATGTATTGATCATGTACATGTGTGATGAATAAGTAACTAATTAAGTATAATATATATATCTAAGTATATATAAATAAATGTGGTAATTATTAAGTCAAATTGTTGTGGTCAAATGAATGAATGATTGAAAGTCAAGTGAGAATGAGTGAGTGAATCGTGAACGTGCCTGGGCTTACAATCGCAACAAACAAACAATAACAACACAGTGTTGTTGTCTTTACTTTAGTAACTGTGATAGGATGTGCGAGGATAAAGGAGGAGGAGTAAGACAAGTCCAAAACAGTTCAAAGATGTGGGGGAATGTTGGACAATGTAGGTGAACAACATGAAAAAAAGTGTACATTGGACGAGGTTAGGGCATTTGACATCCCTCGAGTCAAGTCGAAACTCAATATGACCCCAAACTTAGAGTGTGGTTGAATGTGTGATTGCGAGCGAAAAGAGACCAAGTCCAAAGATGTATTTTAAATTAAAATGGTCGTCTCAAGGTGGGTCATCAAGGTAGATGATATCAATTTCCCTGGGTCCATCCATCTAGCCATGAACAATCACATCAACAACAAATACTCTATAACCTATATCGGGTATAAGATCAATGTTCAATGATACTATCAATTCCATTTCTGTTACCCTTTCAGTTGGGTCGAATCCCCAGGGTAAGAGTTGGTTGGTTGGTTGAATAGATACATATATAACCTCTAGATTAGTCTTACAATATTGTGAGTGATGACGACGGTGTGATGATGAAATCAAAGTGATTGAGTGAGTATTGATTCCTTTGATTGAATAATTGTTTTCCAAACAAGTGAAGTTCAATATTTGGGTGAGTGTGAAATTTGAATTTGAAATTAGCTCCCATTCTCATCGAAATAACGGTTGAGTTCAAAATGGTGGTTGGTTAGATGTGGTCCACATGTCACTCACTACTCATCTCATTGGCATTGTACTCACTCTCTCCTACTTGTACATATACACATATACATATACATATACATACTTATGCTTATACATACATACTAATACATCAATAATAAACAACACATTGACATGTATCACTCACCACGTTGTTCTGCCTTGTTGTCTCACTACTGCTGATGAGTTACTAATGAGTTTGAGTTATGAAATCAATCAATGAGTGAGTACTAATTTACTTCTAATTGCACCACCATCTGCTGCTTACTTACACTATCCTCTTCTTCTCTGCTTCTCTTCTCTCTTCTCTTCTGCCTTCTCCTTGACCTTGTGCCTTGAAGCCCGCTGTGTGTGGTCCTTGTCCTAGTCCTTGATCACCACCTTTGTCTCCGTCACGTCCGCCTTGCTGCCACGTTGTAATGAACCTCTGTCACCCACTAGGCAGACCGCCGCTATGCTGCCACTTTGACCACAGGCCAGAACCCTTGTCTCCATCTGGACTGTTGCCATGTGCCCTGAGTGACCATAGCCCTGAACCTCTGTCCAACTAGCCAGACGATGTTGCCAGCCATGTTGACCATAGCCCAGAAGCTCTCTCCAGCTAGACAGACTCCCGCCATCTGTGACTCCGCCATGATGCCCTTAGTGACCACAGCCCCGAACCTCTGTCTCAAACTAGATAGACGTCCACCGTGCTGCCATGTTCAAGTTGTCCACAGCCATGAACCTCTGTCCCATCTTGATAGACTGCCGCCGTGCTAGCCATGACCCTGTCTCCATGTTGACTGACGGTCGCCGTGTTGCCAGCCAAGTTGACCACGGCCATGTTGACCACAGCCATGAACCTCTGTCCCCAACTAGACAGACGTCCGCCGTGCTGTCACAGCCATGTTGACCACAGCCCAGAACCTCTGTCTCCAACTAGAATGAGGTCGCCATGTGAGCTAAGTGACCACAGCCCCGAACCTCTGTCTCAAACTTGACTGGCTGACGCAGTGCTGCCACGTTCCTCTGTCTCCATCACTACAGAAGTCGGCCATGTTGCCAGCCTCTGTCTCCAACTAGACAGACTACCGTGCGCTGATGTGCCATGCTCCAAGAACCTTTGTCTCCAACTATCCGCCATGTTGACAGCCGCCATGCTGACCACCTCCATGCTGCCAAGATGGCCACCGTCGACAACCTCTGACTCCAACCAGACAGACCGCCACGCTGACAAGTGCGCCGCCATCCTGCCATCATGCTGTCCATCTCGAGTTGACCACAGTCCAGAACCTCTGTCTCCAACTAGACAGACTGTCACAGCCAACCGCGCCGACATGCTGCCATCTGACCAAAGCCTCTGTCTCCAACAAGACAGACCGCAGACATCCTGCCAAGTTGACGAGTGTATCCAACTGGAATGATCATAATCAAGCATTAATAAACGATGAAGACAGGAAGGAGTTGTACAAGTGTGACTTGGAAGGAGAATAACAACAATTGGAGAAGTACAACTCAATGATGTCGCCTGGGCACGGTTGCTGCCCAACGGCTTTAAAAAAAATAAAGGCAGCACTTGTGACAATGAGAAGAAACTCTCAAAGTCAACAAAGTTGCTGCCATACCTGTCTCGACGTGCCCAAAGTCTAATAGCGACAGGTGTAGTCCCCAGGCCGTGCCCACCCCTCTTACATGATGGGCCCACCCGTCCCTCTTGCATGACAGGCCGACCCATCCCTCTTGCATGATGGGCCACGGCCACCTCCTTGCGGAGATGGCCAAATGGTGATGGGAGGAAAATGTTAGTAGTATACGGTCCTGGAAAGGTCCACCTCGGCTTGGCCTGGCTTGGCTCGGCGGCATGGCACTCGGTCTGGCACGGCACTGGCACGGCACTGGATGACTTGGAGGGAATAGACCTCGCAACGACAGGTCATCGTGTGAATGAATCACAACGTCTCCACTGTGTCATCTGGGTTCGGGTGATGGATGTAGGACCACTGATTGGTGTGTTGGTAACTCGACTTTGATGTTGATAATATTGGTTGTTGATGTTGATGTTGGTGGTTGATTGGTTTCAATCGCCAGCCGAGAGATATTTGGGTTTTACCCATCACTCATCTGCTTGATCGACGGCAAGATATATAGATGTGATAACTATTTGAAAAGGAGAGGGACCGGAGGAGAGAAGACTGGCTCATCCACCTCATAATCTGGTGATGGTGGGTATTGGTATCTGAGTTGTTGGTGGTGGCCAATGTCTGCTTGGGTGACTGGATGACTGGATTGTAATGTTGGATATAGTTGGTCTCCAGGTCTCGGTCCGAGGTCGGAAGGTTGTTGATTGATTTCATTGTCTTGGATGAAAAGGACATGGACGAGGATGGTTAGTACTTGGTTTTACAGCAGACAGGCAGACATCACTCAATCAATGAATCAATGAGTTCATTTGATTTAAACATACGATTTGGTCCCATTTGATTTGGGGTGGATACTGGTTGCCTTCTGGGGTAGACAGGCAACGATCGTAATATCCTGAGACAGATACAGTGAATGAGTTGGACATTACTATTCTCCTGGTTGAGAGGAGCGTATGGGACAGTATTCGCAATGACAAATGCGACATCAAGAGGAACCCTGCGTGAGAACCAGACTCCATCTTGATCCTTTCCAAATAAAATCTTTGGTCGCCTGTTGTCGAACAGTGGTCTGATTGGTTTGACATATGGGCGTATGAGAAGAGTCGCGCCAATGTCAATGAAGACCTTGAACTTCCTGATGATCGTGCCTTTTTCGGTGGCCAGAAGCAAGGTCTTGGGAACTGTCGGGTCAAACAACAGTCTAAGGGGCTTGGCTGGTGGGTAGAGTGATTGAATATAATTAAATTGCATTGTAAGAATAATAATAAAGTCGAGTTGAAGAAGGCGTAGTAGTGTTGGAAAACACTGTTTAACGTGATATTCTTGTAGTGTAGATAATAGTTTGGCAAAAGCCGAAGTAGAGAGTCTATAAATAATAATAATATGATTGATTGATATTGATTGATTGATTGGTGAGAGAGAGTGAATGTTAGTATTATGAATTAAAATGATGATAGCATTTTAGTAACATTGTAATAATGTTATTTAAGTGTACATACATATAATAGTGTGATATGGTAATGAGTGATGTAAATGCCCACTTGTCCAAGGACATTCACCGCAATGAGAGAGTCTGTGAGTGGGTGGATAGAGACACTCTCGCACACTCACACACACACACACACACTCACACACACTTAAAGACACATTTTGAATTAAATATTTAAATATATTTAATTAACAGATTGACCATTTAACAGTCCATTTGAATTTGTATCACTCAATACCATCTCAGTGTCATCTTCAATGAAGTTCACGTTGATGACCTTGATTGAGGCACGATCGTTCCAACTGGATACTCTGATGAATGAATGAGCCTTGTAGTGAGAGACTGCTCTGATGTCCATTGTGATCTTGATGAGCTTGCATTTGATCGGTGGTGTTCTGTCTGTTTGTCTGTCTCAATGTCTCTAACTGTCTGTCCGCCTGTTTATGTATGTTTGATTAATCGATTGAATGAGGTCATAGCATCCAATATGGGCTGAGGATTGATGCTATGATCTATCTTGCTGGGACAGACTACTGATTGAATGACTGACTGACAGGGTGGTTGTTGTATCAATGGTCAATGGTGATACATGTCGCTTGATTGGAGTTCGCCAGGTTTTGTCTTGATATGTTTGCCAGGCATGTAATCGATGTTGACCTAGAGTCTTGTTCATCAATCCCAACTGGCGATAGAGAACTAATGTGCTCGACCTTGATGTGACCGACCTGCCTGATTGACTGACTCACTGACTGACTAGCCATTCCAGCTCCTACACACCCTATTGGACAGGTTTGATCCAATGTTGTTAACGCGCTGCGTGAAACAATGTTGATGGACTGGTACCTGCTCGCAAGATTGTCTCTCTCACTGGCGCCATGTTGACTAAATGTGTTTGCCTTTGTGATGCGATACATGGTGCCTTTCCCAATTGACGTCTAGCCATTGTCCTCGCTATGTTGATGGACCAGTGCTGTCTAATCCTACAATGTTGCTCAGTCCTAAAGCTCTAAGGATTCATTGATGGTGAAGTGACTCGCGAGCTACTAACGATCTATAAGTGCCACAGAGTGACCATATCATTCAAACGAAGATTGTCCACAGCGATTTTCCATTACCACGTTTGGACGTTGCTGTTCTTTGAGGATGTAGCATCGTTCTTGCCCTTCAACTCTATTTGGTAAGTCTGCCGCGCGCCAGGTTAGTCCTAACTCAAACTCAATCAATTAATTGAATGAGTGAATGTATACATACTCTTCGTTTCTCTGGACAGTCCCTTTGTTTGGTCTTGTCGTTGCATCTTTGTGAACTTTGAATTGAGGTCGGTGTAGCAATACTTGTCCACTTTGATCATTCTCTGAGTGTTGTCTTTTGGGACGTTGCTATAGAATCCCATGAAGGATTATGACTCGTGGTGAGGCGTCTATGCTGAAGTCAAGTGCTCCTGGAACCTTCGCATATAGGAAGGAAGGCCAGTCCAAGCAACGCCACCTAACCGATGGAGTTGGTACTGTTGATATAGCCAACCACTAGTGGTGAATCATGGCGACCAAGATGAACCCGCTATACGCAACTATGTTGAAGTGGTCGAGCCATCTGGTGATGTGGTCAATGCGTACATTTGAGGATGAATGTGCTGGATCTTGCTTGATGACTGAATTGTGGAAGATATCCTCGGTGATGGCACCTCACCATGCATGGATCTTAGTCGAGACTCGTGACAGAGAAAGATGATCAATTAATTGGTGATCCAGGCATTTGGGAGTGATACTTGGAAACCCAGATCTGGTCGGACCGACTGTCCTCAGCATCACAGACAGGACGTCTTTGTTAATAGCCACGGGTCCTGCATCAAGTAGCACACGTTAGATTGAAGCAGAGTTGACTTGATTGGATGAGGTGGTGTCCATGTCCAACTTGCCAATCTTGATTGATTGGTCGAGTCATGACGAGACACGGACCATATTATATGTACTGATGGTTGTAATGAATGAATGAATGAAGTGTTGGACAATGATCATTGTATCCAACACTTCACAAATAAATATCTTGGGATTGTTCCCCCTTCAGAAGTGTTTTGGGTGACAAAAACACCTCTTGTTTTAAACAAGTGAAGTTCAATATGAGTGTGAGTGAATTTTGAATTTGAAATTCGCGCCCAATCGAATCGAATTAACGGTTGAGTTCAAAATGGTGGTTGGTTAGATGTGGTCCACATGTGTCTGTGACACTGGGTCTATACTCATCTCATTGGCATTGCACTCACTCTCTCCTACTTGTACACATACACATATATACTTACTTACTTATGCTTATACATACAATAATAAACAACACATTGACATGTATCACTCACCACTTTGTTTTGCCTTGTTGTCTCACTACTGCTGATGAGTTACTAATGAGTTTGAGTTATGATATCAATCAATGAGTGAGTACTAATTTACTTCTAATTGCACCACCATCTGATCTGCTGCTTACTTACACTATCCTCTTCTCTTCTCTTCTCTGCCTTCTCCTTGACCTTGTGCCTTGAAGCCCGCGGTGACACTGTCGTCCTTGCCAAGTCTGAGTCACCTTACCGAACCTCTGTCCCCATCTGTGCAGACGTCCGCCATGCTGCCAAGTTGTCCACAGCCCAGAACCTCTGTCTCCTACTTGACTGAGGTGGCCATTGCTTCCTTGAGTGCCCAGTACGTCTGTCTCCCCAATCAATGAGTGAGTACTACCACCGATCACAATCTGCTCACTTATACTCTGCTTACTTACACCTTTCCCTTTTCTCTCTTCTTCTCTTCTACCTTGACCTTGTGCCTTGAAGCCCTGTTCACCACCTCTGTCTCCATCTTGACAGACTGCCGTCGTGCTTCCACGTTGACCACAGCCACGAACCTCTGTCTCCATCTGTACAGTCGTCCGCCATTCTGCCAAGTTGTCCACAGCCCAGAACCTCTGTCTCCAGCTAGACAGACTGCCAACATTGTGACTCCGCCATGATGCCCTGAACCTCTGTCTCCAACGAGACGGCCGCAGTGTTGCCAGACATCTTACATGGCCAAGTTGACCACAGCCAAGAACCTCTGTCTCCAACTAGCAAGACGTACGCCGTGTTGCCAGCCACGTTGATCATAGCCCAGAACATCTGTCTCCAACTTGACTGACTGCCGGCGTGCTGCTACGTTGACCACACCCACGAACTCTAAATCCCTGTGTACAGTCGTCCGCCATTTTGCTAAGGGTCCAGAACCTCTGTCTCCATCTAGACTGAAGTTGCAGTGCTGCCCTGAGTGACCACGGCCTCCCATGCTGCCCCGAGTCCATGAACCTCTGTCCCCAACTAGACTCCGCCACTGACTGCCCATGCTGACCACCACCAAGCTGCCAAGTTGTCCATCTCGAGTTGGCCACAGCCCAGAACCTCTGACTCCATCTAGACTGCCGCCATGCTGCCACGTTGACCATAGTTCAGGACCTCTGTCTCCAACTTGACTAACTGCCACGTTGACCGCCTCCAAGCTGACCACCGTCATGCTGACCGCCTCCATGCTTCCATGATGACCACCTCTGACTCAAACCAGACAGACAGCCACGCTGACAAGTGCGACGCCATGCTGCCAAGTTGTCCATCTCGAGTTGACCACAGTCCAGAACCTCTGTCTCCAACTGGACAGACGCCACGCTGACAAGCGCACCGCCATGCTGCCATCATTGACAGACCGCAGCCATCCTGCCAAGTTGACGAGTGTATCCAACTGGAATGATCATAATCAAAGCATCAATAAACGATGAAGACAGGAAGGAGTTGTACAAGTGTGACTTGGAAGGAGAATAACAACAATTGGAAAAGTACAACTCAATGATGTCGCCTGGGCACGGTTGCTGCCCAACGGCTTTAAAAAAAATAAAGGCAGCACTTGTGACAATGAGAAGAAACTCTCAAAGTCAACAAAGTTGCTGCCATACCTGTCTCGACGCTGCCCAAAGTCTAATAGCGACAGGTGTAGTCCCCAGGCCGTGCCCACCCCTCTTACATGATGGGCCCACCCGTCCCTCTTGCATGACAGGCCGACCCATCCCTCTTGCATGATGGGCCACGGCCACCCCCTTGCGGAGATGGCCAAATGGTGATGGGAGGAAAATGTTAGTAGTATACGGTCCTGGAAAGGTCCACCTCGGCTTGGCCTGGCTTGGCTCGGCGGCATGGCACTCGGTCTGGCACGGCACTGGCACGGCACTGGATGACTTGGAGGGAATAGACCTCGCAACGACAGGTCATCGTGTGAATGAATCACAACGTCTCCACTGTGTCATCTGGGTAAAGCGATGGATGTAGGACCACTGATTGGTGCGTTGGTAATCGAATTTGTTGTTGTTGTTGGTTGTTGATGTTGGTGGTTGATTGGTTTCAATCGCCAGCCGAGAGATATTTGGGTTTTACCCATCACTCATCTGCTTGATCGACGGCAATATATATAGAGGTAAATTACTGTTTGTTGAAAAGGAGAGGGACCGGAGGAGAGAAGACTGGCTCATCCACCTCATAATCTGGTGATGGTGGGTATTGGTATCTGATTCCTAGGTGGTGTTGGCCTGGGTCTGCTTGGACGGCTGGATGATTGAATGGTTTAGGTGGTTGTGGCATCATCACTTGGTCTCCAGGTATTGGTCCGAGGTCATGTGGCTGTTGTTGGATGCCAATATCTTTGAGTGACATGGATGAGAAGCATCAAAGGTGATGATTGAATGGATCGTTAGTATTATTTTTTGACAGTAGCATGCAAGTTCATTTGATATATACTTACCATTTGGAATTGGTTCCTGTTGACCATTGGGATGATCTGGCAACTGGTTCTCTGGTAGGTTTGTCATCCCAATGAATAGAGTTTGATGGATCTCATTGTGTGGTGTATATGTTATCCTAATTGGATCATGGACTCCATCAGTGCGCACAAGAAGTGTATAAATCACCTTTTTAGAAGATTCCTCGCCCAATAACAATGTCCTTGGTCGACTATCGAATAAACTTAGAATTGGGTACATTTTGATGACTGCTGTTTTTTTGTCAAAGTCTATCCTTATTAGGGTGATGACCCTGTGATTTAAGTCGGCCAGCAACAAGTTCTTGGGTATGTGCCTGTTGAACAAAGGTCGAATGAGTTTGGCTGGATTGTATATATATTGATTATTATTATTATTATTATTATTCATTATTGATAGATTGATTGGTAGCGTTGGAAAACACTGTTGAGAAAGATATTCTTGTATAGCAGATAATGGTTTGGCAATAGCCGAAGTAAAGAGTCTATGATATTGATGATATTGATAGATTGATATTGATTGATTGATTGATGAATCGTTGGTGAGTAGAGAGAGAATCAATGTTAGTATTATGAATTAGAATGATGATAGAATTATAATAACATAGTAATAATGTTATTTATGTGTACATACATGTAATAGTGTGATAAGGTAATGAGTGATGTCAATGCCCACTTGTCCAAGGACATTCACCGCAATGAGAGTGTCTGTGAGTGGGTGAGTAGAGACATACCCACACTCACACACACACACACTCACACACTCACACACACTCACACACACTTATAAACACTCATTTTGAATTAAATATTTAAATATTTAATTAACAGATTGACCATTTAACGGTCCATTTGAATTAGTATCATTCAATACCATCTCAGTGTCATCATCAATGTAGTTCACGTTGATGAGCCTTGATTGAGGCAGTGATCGTTCCAAATGGAGTACTCTATGTGATCAGTGGTGTACTATGTGCTTGGCAAGTGGGCATTGTGATGTTGATGCGGGTACTGAGTGATTGACTGACTGGGGGTGAGCGAGTGTTGGTTCTGAACTCTCTCTCTTGATCGTGATTGAAACTCTGTCTTGAGACTAAATGGTTGTTCACCATCCTTGAGATTCGTCCTGTCCATGTTCAATGTCGATTAGCTGCTTCATGACATAAATAGTCGAATGAACGATCAAAGGAGGTGTGTTGAACTCCAGTGGTGATCTGATGATGATGCTCAAGTTCATTGCCACATCGGTGTTCATTCTTTCTAACATTATTTGCTCAGGTTCATGAATCATTCGACAGTTGTACATATTGGACAGTCTGTTCTAATGTTGTTAACGCTGTGTGAAACAATGATTCATGGACTGGTACCATCTAAAAAGCCATTGTCTGCCCATATCGTCTTTAGGTGCTGTTCAATGTATGTGCAGTTTGAGAGACTGTGATGCTGGTCCATTGCTTTGAGGATCCGTACGGATGATGTTCCAACAACTTCAAGGCGACTCACGACGTTGGTCCTGTCTTGGCACCGTGCCGTTCTGGTGACCATGCGCTGGTTCGTCATGATCGAGCGAGTCCATGCGATTGCCCTTGAGCTGATCGTTGAGGTTGTAGGTTGCGATGTAGGTCAAGGTGTCGTCGATCACACAATCGAGTGAGTCAATGCGATTGCTCTTGAGCTGCTCGTTGAGGTCGTAGGCAATGGTCACGGTGTCGGCGTTCAGGATGTCGTCCTCGTACGCACTGACAAGCTCGGCCTCGCCCTGCTTCAGCTTGCTCAGGTTAATGTTAGAAACATTACCTTGATGTGGGCTTGAAAGGCGAGCGTCGTCCTGAGCACAGAGATCTCCTTCCTGACCTTGCTTGGACATGTTGATCATAGAGTCCGAGAACTGTGTGGCGATGACTGGTTCCAAAAGACGGCACACTGCCGCGTAGCTGCATTAAGGAGAGAGTGCCAAAGTTCTTGGCGCATCACCCAGGGCGACATTGGACAAGGGCAAGCCGACTGATCAATGATCCAGCACCTCAGAGCACGCATTGACCACATCTCCAGATGGCTCGACATACTTGAATACCAATGACTTGGGCTAACGGCTACTGATCACTCAATGTCTATTGCAGTTTCATGTATTATTGAATGGTTGTCTTGATATGTTTGCCTGTGATTGATGACGACCCAGCGCCTTGTTGATCAATCACTTGGAAGTGGGTATTGATGCCATTTGAATGAGTGTAGCGCCTCACCATCTGTACAGTGCGTCACCAACTTGATATTGAGTACCAATGTGCTCGACATTCATGGGACTGGCTGACTGACTGGCTGACTGGCTGACCCATGTGCCATCAGTGACCAAAGCCTCTGTCTCCAACTAGACAGACGGCGTCTCGGTCATGCTGACCGTCGCCGTGCTACCAAGTTGTCCACAGACCAGAACCTCTGTCACCAACTTGACTGTCGCCATGCTCTCATGGTGTGCCTTGCACCACGAACCTCTGTCTCCAACTTGTCTGCCGCCGTGCTTCCACGTTGACCACAGCCATGAACCTCTGCCGCCAAGCTGCCTGACCACTATGCCCTAACTATGCTGTCTGCCATGCTGCCTGACCTCTGCCGCCATGTTGCCTCTGAGTCCATGAACCTCTGTCTCCAACTAGACAAACGGCCCGCCATGCTGCCTTGAGTGACCACAGCCCTGAACCTCTGTCCCTCTATCAATAAGTGAGTACATAAATGATCGCACCATGCTCACCTATACTCTTCTTCTCTCTTCTCTATCTTCTACCCACTTTGACCTGTGCTTTGAAGCCCGCTGTGTGCTCCTTGTCCAAGTCTGAGTCCACCGAACCTCTGTGTACAGTCGTCGGCCTTGCTGCCATGTTGACCACATCCGTGAACCTCTGCTCCAACTAGCCAGACGGCCGTGTGTTGCCAGCCACGCTGACCACGGCCATATACCACAGCCATAAACCTCTGCTCCAACTGAAGTTGCAAGCCACGCTGACCACCGCCAAGTTGTCCATCTTCAGTTGACCACAGTCCAGAACCTCTGTCTCCAAATAAATAATAATAAATAAATAAATAAATAATTATTTGTAAGATACTTTGAAGTACCCTGACCAACCTAAAGTCTTTGAGGAACAAAGAGATGTCCCAGGAGGGTGCGAAGTCATCATCATTGTGACAGAACACACACTTTTCTACGTTTTTGAAATTTCCAACACCCACTTGTGCCCGATGACTTCCACTCGTTCACCATCACACACACTGTTGTAGACGGGGTGATCACTAAGTCCCACATCACCACGAAGTCATAGTCAGTCAGTTCCCTATGCTGTAGTAGGGGCTATTCTCTTCCCATCATCATTCAAACATACACAACACATACACTTACTCATAAACACATTCAATTTCATTCACTCATTCAATCAACATCCTCTATTACGACTCAACTCATTCAATTCAATTCAATTTGGTGTAATTATAAGTAATACAGATAGATAAATATATCAATGGAAGAGATATCAACTAAACAATCATTGTCATCACCTTTGTTTGATGGACGTAAGTATCATATGAAAAAAAAAAAACGAACGAACGAATGAATGAATGAATGAACTAATATTTGACCATTCAATACAAAGACTCTGGAAAGTATAATAGTTCAACATTCTTTGGAAGATTCCAGAACTTTAGAGATGTCACAGATCCAAGGTATGTGACCCCTCCATCAATATGGAACAATTCCAACCATTCCAACAACAACTAACAATCATACTTCACTCATACTTCAAGTTCAATGTTTGTTACAGAGAACGAAGTGACAGAATCAAAGAGTATATTGGATAGATTCAAGAGAGGACTGGTCGACCCAACTACACATAATGCTGAGCTTTGGAAAGCCAAGAAAGTGGTCGATGCCACCATCCATCCAGACACTGGCGAGACCATCCCACTCCCATTCAGGATGTGTTCATTCCTACCAATCAATGTTGTAATATGTGCTGGTCTACTACTTCCCAATGCATCAGTATGTATAATTCCCATCACCCAATCAATCAATAAATCAATCAATCAATCAATCATACTAACTCACTCTCACTCAATTGGAATAATTCCAGATTGGTACAACAATATTCTGGCAATGGATCAATCAATCATATAATATTGCACTAAATCATGCTAATAGGAATGCAAGCAATGAGATGACAAATCAACAGATTACAACCGCTTATATGTCTGCAGTTGGTATATCATGTTCATTGGCTGTTGGTCTTGGACATGCTGTCAACAAACTCAAGATACCCAATGCCTCAGTCCATGCTGGACTCAGAATGATGGTGCCATTCACCGCCGTCACCACTGCTGGTATCGCCAACGTATTCATTATGAGAGGAAATGAGATGAAGTATGTTCATAGTCCTCCACCCCCACCCCTCCTGGACTATCCCACTCACTCAATCAATCAATCAATTAATGTTATTTTTAGGAATGGCATTGATATTAAGGACAAGTATGGACAGGTACATGGCAAGAGTAAGGAGGCTGGAAAGTCTGCGATATTCAAGGTCGCAATGTCTAGGGTGGCTACTGCATTCCCAGCATTGTTGTTGCCACCAATGGTGATGAGTCTCGTCGAGAAACTCAGTATGGTGCAGAGGTATCCAATGGTCAAGATGCCACTGAACCTTGGTCTGCTTGCTGCCATCTTCAACACATCACTGCCGGCAGCCATTGCCATGTTCCCTCAAGAGTCCACCATTGACTCAGCCTCCCTTGAACCCGAGTTCCAGGGTCTGAAGGATGCCAACGGTGACCTGATCAGAGAGTTCACATTCAACAAGGGACTCTAAAGTCCCTAACATCATTTTAAACGGTGCCGTCCGGACCAGTCCAGTCTTGTCCGCGGCCAGTACGATCACTACTTAATTTATTCGCTCGTCATCATAGTAAAGACATCAAGTTTATCACAATAATAATAAGACAATCATGATTGTTCGATGGAGATGTAGATGGACCGGATAGAGTCCATCGTTTATTGATTGATTGATTGAATGGTTGATTATATATGATTCCAAACATATAACTATATGATTAATTGATTGGAATTTGATTGCTAATGCTCTGGAGTTGGACTGGACTATGTCGTAGTCTCGTCTCGTCGTACCATTATATAACTTATAATGGTTTGTCAAAAAAGGTTGATTGATTGGATGGCTTGGTTGGTGGATTGGAGTTGATTGAATGCTGAGACTCTATCTACATATATCTAGATAAGTGGAATATGTACAATCGGGATTGTTGATGTGATTGGATTGAGTTGGAATGATTGATTGAATGAGTGATTGGGGGCTTAGGAACACAGGATATTCTTGATGTTCATGGCAGCACCATCTTGTTGTTGCTTGGCACCGGAGGATGTTGATGGGTTGGTAATGACGATAGATGGGTTGTTGTTGTTGAGGTTGGTGTTGTTGGACTCGTCCAAATGCTCAAATTGGAATGCTGTGAGGGCCAGTACGTCAAGGGATGCACATCCAGCGCCGTTGGACTTGGTTGCAACTACTACTGGCACGGACAGAGTGGCATCATGCTGCTGGACATTGGCAATGTGCTTGGTCATTGGGACGTGGTCATAATCTGTCGATACACGTCTGGTTGGTATGTACATGTTTGATTGATTGGTGGTAGTGGGCGATGTCTTGCCAGAGGTCATCGCACGCTCAATCATCGAGCTGATTGAGTCGAGTGCTGGAATGTGTTGTGGCTGTTGCTGCTGCTTCTTTGATTGATTATGGTTGAATGACTCGGTGATGGACTCGTTGTCGCTGCTGTCCTCGTACGAGGAGCCTGGTGTCACACAGAGCGGGGTGGTGGAGACGTATGGCGTTGGAAGTGGGGACATCGATGGAACGCGCTCGCCCACCTCGCTCCTCGAGTGTGAACGCTTCACTCTCTTGGTTGGTTGGGCTGGTGATGTATAGCTCTCTTGCTCCAAGTCCTCACCATCCTCCGATTGTGATTGTGATTGAGCAATGCCCGATGTGTTGAACATCGAGTAGTCTGATTGTGGATAAAGGAATTGAACATTCTAGATTGATGAGGTATGGAGTGGTTAGTGACTAGTTGCTCGAAGGCCAAGATGTGGCTGACTGATGAGACTTACATTGAGTACTCTTTGCTCGCTGAGGTATCCAATTGAGGCGAATAAAGTGGTGATGGGAAGCATGTTGTTGACGGGGTTGTTGGTCCATCCTTTGATGACCTTGGTGAAGTTGTTGAGTTTGGTGCCCTCGGTCGATGACTTGAATGGCGCGAACGAGTTACAGTTGTCCCAGATGGCCTTGCGCATGGCCGTTGGCAGAGCATCGAGCTGGGGTGCCCACGCAGTCAGACACAGCAACTGTTGCAACACAGATGGCAAGTTGTGGCCCCATATATTAGACGAGTGGAACATGTTGTTGGACACCATGTATGGGTTGGTTGCGTCGGATGCCTCGGCCTTGAGCTGAGGGGATATCTGTTGGAAGATCTCGCTTCCTCCTTGACTGGCCTCGACAAAGGCGAGATGCAACATCTTGATGGCGTGGATGTCGCTGTTGGTCTGACGCACCAACGAGTTGAAGTATGGACGGAACTTGCTTGTGCACTTGGCCAAACTGTCGTAGACCTCGATGATCATTGTCGCGCCGCCCATCGGGTAGGCATTCTTTATGCTGTTGGCAGTCAATTGGCGCCATACTAATGAGCGCGCATTCTCTGAACATTCGTCAATCTGGCTGACCCAGACATCGAGTTGGCGCATTTCGTCAATCAGTGCAATCACCTCTTGAGTGTTGTTGGTCATCTGCTGCTGCTGCTGTTGTTGTTGTTGTGAATATGGCATGGGTGATACTGGGCGTGAAGTTGATGGTGATGAGTCGGCCGTAGACTGCAGTAGCGGCGACATTGTGTTTGTTGAAGATGAGAGTGCGGGAGACATTCGTCGTGCCAAGTATATATTGTTGTTGTTATAATTATTGTTATACGTAGTAGTTGTTGTTGATGTATTGGTCGAGAAGAAGTGATGACTGGAGGAGGGGACTGATCCGATGACAGCGAGCGATGGACAGGGTTGGGCGGGCGAGGCGCACAGGTCGGATGGACGGAGCAGCGGAATCATCATTCTTTCCTCGATCGAATGTTTCTCGATGTCTTCAGGCTTGATCTCAATTTGGTTATAATTTGCGTGTCTTCTTTGTTTCATTCGTTGTTTGTTGTTTGTTGTTGGAGGACCTTAAATGTGTGTGATGGTGTTAGACGTGTTGTTGGGATGGGGGCTCGTTCGGGCCTTAAGGCTATGGTCGCGGGAATGTGGCAAATGCACGGAATTGTGAGATAAACTAAAAACACACACTTTGAGCTGAGGTGCGGAGATAGATGGGATGGACTGATGGGGCGGATGGATGTCGTCTTGATTTGGTTTGCCTTTCGCCTTTCACGTGTCAAATGAAAAACCGAATGAATTAATGTATGGGGTGCGACGAGTGTTGAATGGTATAATGTCAACAACAAAAAAGGATATTGGTAATCAAAGAGTCAATAAGTCAACTGATGACTTTATCCAAAATATCTTGATAGTTTGTTGTTTATGTGTTCGAATCGAATAATTAACAAATAGATTATTATAAATTGTAAATTAATTAATCTAGAAGTAGATTAGATCATTAGATAGATATATACAAGATAATAAATTAATAATAAACAAATATGGATATGGAATTAGGTTGTGATAATGAAGTCGGTTGGGTTTATGTGATAATGAGTCAAATAACTAATGGATGTTTGAAGTTGACACTTACGTTGAAATTCGTGTAAGTTCTCCTAATTAATCTACTCTACTATTAATAAGATATTATAATATAATATTTGATAACCTGTATTTGGTGTTGATGAGTCACAATATAATTGATTGATTGATTGAAGTGTTAATGTGTGTATTTGTTTGTTTGTACAGATATTTAAAAGTGAAGTATAAATGAGTATGTTTGTGTTTATTCGTCTTTAGGACTTGAACTATCTTGAAGTTGATAAAGTGTATAAATTGAGAATATTGAAAGAGATATATTAAAGATACTACTGATTGTTGTTTGAATGAACATAGGGATAGATTGAGATAACTAATACTAATTATAGTGTACATAGCCCAATATCATGAGGCACTGTTCAGATCAATACAGATGCTAAACGATATATATGTTCAGATTTAGTATTGTGTATCTACAACAAACAAACACTAAATATAGAAGTGTGTGGTTGTTTGGCAAGCCTCAATCAACAATCATGAGTGGTGGGGTTTGGTCACAAAGAACCACAATCATGGTCACTACCTGGTAATGGCTAGGACCAACTTCTAGTATTCATTGCCAAAGGGTAGTAGTAGGTATTCGAGTTGACTTGAATAATGAAGGATATATGCAAATATATATATTATAATAGTACTTTATGACGATAATCATGGACTAAGACAGTTGCAAACATTCTAATTAATTAACCAAACTCAATGTATAAACAAACGATTCGATCGATTAGTAGAACAACAAACCGATTGTTGGGTTGATTTGGTTGACGATGGGATGATATCATATTCAGGTCTTGCTCGTTTGAGATTGGATACCCTTGTTGGGATGGGAAATGGGTGTTGGTATGAATTATAGGATGTGGACCATTTAACATTTTGACTACGGACTAATGATGATGTCTACCCAGGCTGTAATACTTAGAGACAACATCAACTGATTGATCCACACAAATACTTAAACCTTTGATTTTGGGTAACAATGTAAAGATTTCGAATTCCCCCAATGGTTTCCAATGAAGGAACTTTGAAAAGTCACACACTCAAACACACACTTTTGAAGGCAGTGAGAAGACAAGACAATCGATAACAAAAGATACATACACAACATACATACATACATACATACATACAACACGTTTAATACAATACAATACAATAAACAGCCTTTATATTTATATTTATATTTATTATATATATAATATGAATCCATTGGATCAACGACTGCAACAACAACAACAACAAATACTACAACAACAACAACAACAATTACAACAACATCAACAACAACATCAACAACAACAACAACAAATACAACAACTACATCAACAACAACCTTGGATACAGAGAACTACAAACAATTTGAATGGGTCACTGGCGTCGCTGATTAGAATGAGCAACATGTCGAGAGAGCTCCACGACATACTGTCGGGCTCATTCGATTCGAACGACTTGGGCGAGATAATCACCAATTCAATTCTCAATCCTGGCTCAGCGCTCAACTCGAGCATCCACATCATGCAGCATACGGCACCCGTGCTCAAGGGTGTCCTGGGCGACGTCACATTCCTCAAGCAGCACAGTCGCTCAGTCAAAGCCGTCGACTTCTCGCCACGCGACGATCACATCTTTAGCAGTGCAGGTCTCGACGGCAAGTGTGTCACCTACGACGCACGTCAAGGAAGGATACTATCATACACAACAATCGCACATCATGGACCATCTCAACTTACAGGATGTAGGTATCGCGATCATGCATTGTGTGTGTGTCACAGATGATCAGACAACTAACTAACAAACGAACGAACGAACGATTGATTGAATGAACGAACAAAGTGAAATACATTACAGATGGTACTAAACTGGCACTGGCAACATCAAACAACAAGATGCTGATATATGATATAGAGACGAGTGCAGTCACTCAATCATTCGATAAGTGTAAGGGGATTGATCAGTGATGGATACGTTCATTCATTCAATCAAGTACTCACTCAATCAATCAAATAGGTGTCCCACCTGGAGGCGTAAGTATACGTTGTCCAATCGCTGTGGAGAGCTCCAATGTTATAATGGTACCCAATGCAACTGGTAGAGGAATAGCATTCCTTGATCTGAGGGCAGCATCAATCGTTAATAATATGGAGGATATACACGAGGCACAGATAAATGACATTGTTCTTCTGGACAGTGCATGGGCACGAGAGGTTGGCGCTGCATCGGGCAACATGCCTGCCATCCTCACCGCATCATCAGACAGCACTTGTAGAGTGAGTACACGACACTACTACGCCCATGCTCTGATCGTCCCAACTGACACCATTACCACCCGACCTCAGATTGTAGACACGCGATCACAGGTGTTGAAGAAGTTCGAGCATCGAACACAAGTGTTCTCGGTGGCACATACACCAGAGGCACCATCAATCACATCAAACTCATGCATTGCCATTGGCAGCGACAAGCTGAATGTCTATCCGCTGCAGGGTCAGCTGCCTGTATACTCATCCAACTTCCCCACTTGTAAATACGTCAGCAGGCTGAACTACTCGCGCAGTGGCCGCGCACTGTTCTGTGCCACAAACGATGGCCATCTCAGAATGTACAATAGAATCAATGGTGGCTACGATCTCAAAGGCATAGTCTACAAGCATAGCAAGGATATACAAGACATGGCAATATCAAGGAATGATGAATGTATGTGTCGACTTGATCAAGTCGTGGTCGCGTCGCGCCGTGTCGTGTATCTAACTCATTCGTTCATTCAATCACGTAGATATCATAACAGCATCATCAGACTTCTCAGTTGGACTCATTCGCATGGGCGATCCAATCAGCGGACCAACAGAGGTTGGAGAGATCATTTAGTCCAACCTTATTCAATACTTATATATATATACAAATGTATTATATTTCAATCACTCTCATGCTCTCGTCCGCTCATTCAATCAATCAATCACATAGGCACTCAATCGATCAATCATTCAATCAAACGACTTGGTTTATTGATTGGATTGGAATAACTTAGAATGATAGGATAATGATGGACAGGACGACCCACATCATGTGGATGATCATTAATATACCTAGTCCCTGCAGGCAGGAAGGAATGATGATTGAAGGAATGAGTGGTCAGTCAAATGGACATCCATGATTCTTGATTGAACAATCACAATCACACATACCTTCATTGTGATGCGCTTCTTAAGAAGAGCGATACGCTCGTCCTCCACAATGTCAACGACAAAGTGAGCTGGATGCGTTAGATATTGAATGTGATTGGAGATGGATGATGAGTCGGCGCCATTGCCATTGCCATTGGATGTGGTGTCCGTGTAGCTGGACACTGTATCCGATGTTGTTGTGGACATGTGCGCCATGTTGGTGGATAACTGCTGGTGTTGTGTGTTGCTGGCAGCGTTCGCTGCGCTGCCAGACACACTGCACAGAATCTGTGATTGTACGCGTTGGTAATATAGTTCACAGGAGTGGTCCTGATTAAAGAGCGCTCGTATGTTGTACAGTTTGACGAGGTGATGCAGGAGCGACTTGAACCTGCTTTCCACAGACATCGGGTCTGTGGCAATATATCTGTTCTCTTTCGCATTGAACAAGTGTACATTAGGTGATAATAATCCGCTGCAAGAGAGAGTATGTTTAGTTAGTTTGAGGTCAGAGGTGTGGCGGGCCTTTATCCGCGGCAACACGCGGAAACACAAGTGGTAACTCGCGGGAACACGTGGAAACAGGTGGAAACTGGCGGTCACGTCTTGAGGAGGAGGTACTTACATTGAGAAACATTTTATATATAGGGTATCTACAAGTTTGGCAAGGGCATAGCTAAGAGGAAGCTTGACAGCCAGAAGGAGGAGCAAAGGCGCGAACATTGAGGGTTCGCGATGGTATAGGAGTGTGTGTAGCATGGAGACAAATGCTAGGATGATAAAGAAGAAGTCTAGCATGAGGAAGGGATGATGCGACATTAGTGGCACCAGGTCAAACTCATTCAACACCGTTGTGAAGATGGGCTCATGCGGCCGCTCACGCTCGAGCTGGTCGATGAGCTCGCGTGTCTCCTGGTGGAAGTAGCTGGCGGCGGCAAATGAGTAGCACTTGATGGACAGCGTGCCCAGGTGTGGCGAGGGCGCCGACTGGCGCTGCAAGTTGAGCGCGTGGATGGCCGCCCACGACGCCGCATTGGCGCCCATCGAGTGGCCGGTGAATATGAGACGCTTGGCCTTGCAGCGATAGGCGATGGTCATGAGTTGCTGCACGGCGCAGTAGACCCACTCGAAGCGGGCGATCGTTGCGTACAGCGTGTGTTCGCGGTCGTAGAACTGCTTCTCAAACAGGCCACACGCCACATCCAACTGCACGTCGCTGACGGCCGTCGAGCCGGTGAACGCCACAAACATGTTGTCCAGGTGGTCGAGCGCCACCACCATCTTGGTGCGCGTGTGCGTAGGCTTGTAGAAGCTGATGGAGCGCAGTGGGATGGTGGTAGTGTGCTGCGCAATCATATTGGCAATGTCCTTCTCATAGTTGACGTAGGCCAATCGTGACAGGAACACAGACGACAGCATCAAATGGTCGTGTAGTGGACGCTTCAATGTGTCTGCATCGATGTGGCAAGAGGCAGCATCATCATCCCATCCACCATTCTGTGCCGTCTCTATATGATCATACAATGACTCTATCCAATTAGTACTGTTCACCACAATGTTCGTGTTATCCTAATCGGGGTTGATTGTTAGTGTGTGTGCGAGTGGTCATTGATTGATTGAGCGAGTGATTCTAAGTTGTCAATCATTGTCACCTACCTTTACATTGATGACATGGTTCTCAACATTGATCATCTTGTGTGATGGTTGACAGTAATAAGTTTTGTACACTAGATAGACTAGAAGGTAATATTACTTAAATATATAATGTAAATAAATTATAAATATATAAATATAAAAGGAATAAATAAGATATATGTACAAAGTTATAAAGAGAATAAAGTGATTAGAGTAATAGAAATGATATGTAGGTCCAATAAAGTGTGACATGTCATCAACTTTGTCCAGCTGATGGGCCACTCGAGGGCCCTCCCAAAACAGTTCGCGATCCCTGATCACGGAAAAAAAGTCGGATCCAGCCCAGGGTCTTCCAACCAACAGTTGTTTTGTCAAAACCATAAATAATCTTGTAACATTGGTCAAAGACCAAATCTCATTAGATATTAACAAGGTAAACTAATATCAAATATCAATCAATCAATCACATAATACATAAGTAACTAAACTAGTACCTATTAATACGAGTTTTCAAATACCTATTTTAATCTCGAATGTTTGAACAGGATTAGAGAGCATCATTATGATGAATATCATCAAAGGAGGATATGTAGAAGGTCATATCCGAATTATAAATATCTTATAATGATTGGTCAAACACCCTGGTATAACTAACCAATCAATCTTAACGAATTGGTGTGTGAGTGTGTGATTGATACAAACTGTTCTCTTGTCCACTTTTCCGGAATAGACACCTCCAAAAGGTACTTAAGTTCACGGCCGTGAACTACTACTGATTCATTCAAAACAATATCAACTATCAATCAATCAATCAATTACATAATAAGAATGTCTACTGCAACCAAAACAAACATTGATCTTTATGGATGTGGATCACCAAATGTCGCTAAAGTGTACCTTATGTTCAAGTGTCTGGGCATCAATTGCAACTTCATCGATGTAAAGTGGAGGGATGGAGAACATTATAAGCCAGAGTTTGTCCGTATCAATCCAAACTCAAAGTTACCGGCAATCGTTGACCATGATGTCCAAGGTGAACCTATCTCTGTTTTTGAAAGCGGTAACATCCTACTCTACCTAGCTGATAAGTATGGCATGTTCATCCCACCCAGTAGCAATATCCGTGAACGTACTGAGGTCCTCAACTGGGTCTTCTGGCAGATGGCCAACTTGGGACCGGTCATCGGTAGCTGGTACCACTTCACCCAGTACGCCCCCGAGAAGATCGCATATCCAATCGATCGCTGTACCAAGGAGCTTTGTCGTCTGTTCCATGTTCTCAACAGGACTTTGGAGAATCGTCGTTACATCGCGGGTGACGACTTCACAATTGCCGACATGGCCATATTCCCTTGGGCAAAGATCTACTCCTGGGTTGGAGGTTTCACCAAAGAGGAGTTTCCACATCTCGATGCCTACATTGTCCGTATCCGCGAGATCAAAGCTGTCCAAGAACTCGAGGCCTTTGAGATTGAGTATCGTAGCAAGAACCCCCGGACTGATCCCACTCCCGAGCAAAGGAAGTTTATGTTTGGAGTTGACGGAAGGCAACAACTAGTCTAAACTACAACCAACCAATCAATCAATAATTGTTGACGTCGGCATTGTGTGATGACGTAATCACTTCAAAGAATACATGTTTGATCAAAAGTAGCCCATTATGTGTTTTTTCGTTCGTCTTGCCCATTGTTTGATCAATCATGGTTATGGAGATGAAACAAGTGATGTTAGGTTGGATCCGAAATACAAATCGCATTCCCTAATAAGTAGTCTTGCCGAGTTGGGATCATCATCTTCATAAGGTGGGAAGTAGTTGCCTACATCAATCACAGTGTGTGTTTGTGTGTTCCCACTCAAAGTTCATTCAATCAATCATTCTTTCAATTTCATTCATATAGTATTATAATGGATAATAACAATAGTCATCATTATAGTAGTGGTAGTGGAGGTAATAGCAGTAGGGATAACAGTAGGGGAGGTAGTAGTGGTAGCTTTGAGAATGGAGGCAGCGTAAAGTACATCACATCACCAACCTTTGCATCACCAAAGAGAAGCGCAGCACAAGTTAGTCAATCTCCCTTTGGTACATACACTGATCCAGATGACCTACTCCTTGCTGTGGCCAAACATCTTCAAGTCAATGGTATGTGCATCATCATTGATTGAATGAACATCAATACTTACATGTTGAACATTATGATGATGTAGAGAAGAAGCTTGTTGTAGGAGAAGATAGTTTATTCTTGAATGTATGGAGTCTGGATCATCTTTGTTTGTATATGAGTGGAAAGAGAGTGTCATTCAAGTTGACAAGGAATCAGTTGTTGGATACACAGTATACAATATCATTGATCAAACGTTTAAAGGTCATTTCAAACATACCCAAGCTAATTGAGAAGGCCAAAGACTTTGATCTCACTCCATTCGAATCGTTGACATCTCTCGAACTCAACTCAATCAAACCATACCTGATAACAGATATCCAACAACTATCCAATCGTCTCACAAAGGTAACATCTCCGCATGTCACTCACTCCCATCCCATACTCACTCATTCATTCTATCCATCCAGCTCACATTACACGAGTCATTGTTCACTTTGGACGAACTGATACAGATTGGCGATGCAGTGAATGGCGTGCGGGACACGGCGACTGGACGATATTGGTCCCGTCTGGCAACATTGGACTGTTCATTCAACTATATTCCAAAGATAGATCAGTCGATACAGGGTCTGGTGGCATTGGAGAAGTTAAACTTGGAGGGCAACCTAATCACTACAGTGGAGAATCTACAAGAATGCGTGTGGCTCAAGTTACTCAACTTGTCCTACAACAAGATCGAGTCGACTGATCGCATCTTTGCGTCGGTGGGCATGGTAACACACTTGTCACTGCGCGCCAATCTATTGACTACGGTCGATGGCTTGAACAAACTGTTTGGACTCGAATACTTGGACATCAGTTACAATCAAATCAAGGACATGGAGGAGATGTTCAAGCTGAGAGGTCTTCCGCAGCTTGTCTGTCTCAACGTCGAGGGCAATCCTTTTGCTAATGCCAAGCACTATCGCGCGTACATCCTATCAACCTTCTTTGAGAATGTATGTGCTCCCTTCTAGCCGCACCATTGCCAGTGCTAACATGCCCATTCAATCAATCTATCAATCAACAGGACATGGACTCATTGGAATCAAGAGAGTTCTATTTGGATGGCATTGGCATTAGTGATGATGAGGCCGAGACTATGAGGAAGAGCAAGAGTCAGAGTTTGAATGGGATCACTACTTCGCGATCAAATAGGATTGGTCCAATGCGGGAGGACAGGTCAAAGCCGGGATTCTACATTGCTCCCAACGCAGTGATATCAAAGAGTGATAGCAAGAGCTCATCACCATACATGGCATCTGTATCATCACAACCAAATCATCCAACCAGTCCATTGCTGAAGCGAGTGGTCAGTCTTGATCAAACGGATGCCCAAGCATCACAGGCACCAGTGGTCGAGTACAATGAAGAGGTCAAGGAGAAGGATGACAAGTTTGCTGAGGAGAAGAAGTTATTGAAGGATATAGAGACATGGCGCAAGGAGGGTCAAGACTCCTGGCTAAGCATATTGAATGAGAGGATGCAGGAGACTGGTCTTCATCATCAACAGCCGCAATATCAGCATCACAAAGTACATCCATTGGTTGACGATTCACGCGATGGAAGGAAGGTCAAGATCATAAAGAAGAAGGTTAAGAAGGTGGATGGATCATCGCCCGTCCCCACAACCGCGACTCATTCAACATCATTGCCAACTCAAACCTCATCATTCTTAATGGCGCGTCCAGAGGGCCTGTCGCCACTCAGCGCCAAACAACTGCCCCAGAAGCAACAACAACAGTGGACATCTCCAAAGTTCAATATATCATCACCAATCGTGGCCAGCGAGCCCAAGGTGCCAGAACTCAAGCTGTATGTCTTGGTGCGAGAAGGACACGTGGACCAGAGCACTGACTAACCGAATCCCAATCAATCAGACAAGGACAGGTGTTCAAGGTTACCAAGTTTGGAATCAATCAGGAGATATTGTTGGAGATCAAGTCGGATACATTGAGCGAGTATAATCCAAAGTCTGCCAACTTGTTGATGTCCAATCCATTGTCAGCAATAATCTTTGTAAAGAAACTACTACGAGCCAACAAGGGCATTATAGAGATTACATATGGTCGCAAGTTCAAGGATGGCTTGCCAGAGAGCTTTGACAAGGAAGCATATCTGACGACCGACGACGAGCAGACCCTGCGAATAGATGAGCAACTGCGGCCACACGCCAAAGAGTACACGATGCGCTGCGTCGACTGCTCTGAGAAGTACGTCTGCCAGGAGGTGACAGAGTTTAGCGAGTGCCCCAAGTGCAAGTCGCGCTACCTCTTCTTTGTGCCCCACGACGTGGGCAGTCTGCGCAAGCTGTCCAGTCCCACAGCCATGTCCGAGTCGTGGAGTGCGCAACCATCGGCTGCTATCACATCCACAGTCCTCAAGACGTCCAGCTCATTGATTGGCGCGCTGGCCAACGAGCCCCTGCAGAGCGCCGTGAGCGACGATGACCTGAACAACCAAGTGGTGAACGATCTGACCCTCCAGCAGCACTTTAGGAACAACCTATTCGATAGCCAAGAGTCCTACATTTACATCATGCACACGTACTACATCACTTATAACAATCAATTGAAGGAGGACCAGCAGGAGGAGCGGCCCATCTTCTTCCTGCTGACCACACGTGCGATCTACCTGCTCAAGGCTGAGAGGAAGGCACTGGCGGCACAAGATGTCAATTTCTCACGTATCCGATCAATCAAACTCAAAGAACTACGCAAGGTAAACATTGGATTACTCTATCAATCATTCAGTATCGAGCTTAGTGATGTTGCCTATGTATTCCTCAAGCGTTCACACGAGTCCAATCACAAGTAAGTCCTTGGCCCATGGGCCAGTGCCCTCCATGGAGGGCGATGAATGATGGCCACTCACTTACTCAATCAACCCTCATCAATGTACAGGTTACTGGATTCAATATTCGAGGCGACCAAGAAGGCCGAGTTGTCAATACAGCCAACCTACAAGAACAATGAGACGATGAGCAACATTGAGTCATTCATAGACTCAAGGAAGAGCTTTGAACTCTACATCATGTTATTCCAAAGAGTGTCATCCAAGTGTAAGTCTGATCCACATGACTGGAACCATTCCAACTCAATTGCTCACTCACATATCCAATCAATCAATAGTACAACCTAGAAGTCTGATTATAGAATCAGATAGGATATATATAATGATTGAGAATTATAATCAATGGCCATTACTTAATAGGAGTGTAAAGACTACATCGCCACAGTTCACATTGGTCAAGTCATTCAAGATAACAGATATATCATGTTTACATTACTCATTGAACAACAATCCAACAGAGGTCACAATCATCTTTGAGAATGCCAACATCGAGGGTATACATCAATGGATACTACAATGTGCACATCAAGTTGAGAGCACCAAGATCGTCAGTGTTCTCTCCAAGCTCTGGCGACGTCGACATAACAATGGTGCCAACCTAAGAATAAACGATTGGTAGTTGTTGTAGTATTGTAATAATCATGATTGTCTGACAGATATGAGTGTGGTGTCGTTGCAATCAATAAGTTGTTCAAAGAATAGATGGGCTGGGTCGGTGGCTGGACACACTCACCCAACTTTTTGTTCATCTGATTAAATATTTGATGGACATCAATCTTGATGTGAATTCAATCAATCAATAGATATAATATATACTTATAACAAATAATAAATAATAATGTCAGCAAACAAGGCTAGTTTGGAAAGGATTTATAAACAGTTGGACACCAATGGTGACAATGTCCTCGATGTGAATGAGCTATCTGTTGCCTTTGCCAAGGCAGGCCAGAAGCCAACATTGTCCGAGGTCTATGCCATGATCTCATTGGTCGATACTACAGGAGTATGTATCTCTGTCTCCATCTTCAATCAATCTCACTAACTCAATCAATCAATCAATCAACTTATAGAAAGGAACAGTTGGATTTGATGACTTTTGTACTATGGTCGAGAAGGTACATAGAGGTGAGCTTCCAGCATCAACTGGAATTCCATCATTGATTAAGGGTGCTTGGGAGGATTATATCGTCAGTGTCAACAAGCCTGTCGAGAAGAACATTCCAACTAAAGTGTCAAAGAAGGGCAAGGGTGAGGCACATGCCGAGGCACCACAAGGCGAGAAGTATAAGATTGGTGGAAAGACTCAAAAGGCCACATACAAGAGTATGTATTATAATTATTTTCTTGTTATGTATATGTATACTAACTAATCAATCTATTATAGACCTCCCTGGCAAGAGATCACTTACTGATCTTCCATAAGAAGTGGATTGTTGGAGTTATGTTGGTTTGTCCAACTTAAAGCACATTGTAATCATTTAGTTAGTTAGCCTAGTATTCTAACAAACTTATATACAATAATACAATACAATACTATTTATTTGTACAAGTTGGATCACTGTCTTGGTCATCGGATGTTGTTGTTTTGAAGTTGTGTGAGGGCAAGGGCAAGGGCAAGGGTTAGGGTTTTGAAACTGAAGATTCGTGAAGATGACATCGAACTTATTGTTACTCTTATTACTTACACCTTTCATACTTCATACATATACATATACATATATATTTAATACACGTAATATCAAACAGATGATTATGATATAGTTGGATTCGAATACATAATATAAAGGAAGAGAGAGATAATATATATATTGATGTTTGATTGAGAGTTGAGATACCAAGAACAAGAACAAGAGGATTGATTGTTTGTCAACAACAACAACAATAATATCAAACAAACAATGGAATCAACATCAACAACAACACCAACATCAACATCGACAACAAGTTCCCCTCCACCACCACAACAGCAACAACAACAACAGAATACAATGATGATGATAAGGACAAGTTTACAGAGCAATAAGTTGGAGATTGATGACGTTGTATTAAAGGATACATATGTGTTGCGTAATCTGAAGATCACGTCATTGGTCGATCATCCAGTGACAGTATCACTGAGATCAGATCTGCAGCAGATCGCCTTTCAGAGCACCAACGAGAATCTACAGGACACAGACACAGAGATACCAGTACAGGACGATGACTTTAATCAACTGTTCAACGAGGTGAACATTATCGATCAGATCACATTGCAGCCCCACCAGACCAGCAACGTCGTCATGTCCTTCCGGCCCTCATCGCTGCTGAACCAGCAGGACCAGGACGACCTGCGTCAAACAGGCTTCTACAACTACTTTGAGGTCAAGGGCAAGCTCTATCTGACCGTGGCTGTGCCTGCCGCAGCCGCACCCGCCACGACCACACCCGAGGCCATTCAGGAGGAACAGCAACAGCAACAACAACAACAGGATACTACTCCCGCCGCGGTAGTAGCCCAACAACAGCCACCACAGCCACAACCAATGATCATTGATGTACTCACAAGAGTATGTCGTTCACAGATTAAGGTCGATGTCAAGGAGGTGATCTTTGACGACTGCGTCGTGGGCACGACCTACATCAAGGACCTGACGATCTGGAATCGCTCAGAGATGCCACTGCGCTTCTCAATCTACTGCAAGGAGAAGGCCATCAGCATGTTCCAATTCACCGACTACTCCACGGGCCAACCCATGTCTGTTGACAACCAGATCGTGCCCAGCTACTCCTCGCTCTCGATGCGAATTGGGTTCACGCCCACCTCTATCGGGCAATCAACCTACAAGTTCAAACTAGAGAACAAGAACGACACGTCCAACTACGAGCTAGTAGTCGTGCACGCCACCGTGTCCAATGAGCAACAGATTGTAAGTTTGATCGATCATCCTCGCATTGATGTGAGCCCAACGCTAATCAATCAATCAACACCAACTTGTAGGAGTTGATTCAGGTCAGCAACAACTCATTCGACATGGGTGACTGCTATAGCGATGTGCCCACTTATAACAAGTTCACGGTGAAGAACATCAGCGAGGAACCAGTGGATATTAGCTTCAACAGCGACCTGTTTGACGAGGTCACCTTCCTGCTCCACGAGGAGGAGGAGAAGGACACCAACAAGAAGAAGAAGGCCACAACCGAGCCAGCGACAACAATTGGCGAGCATCGCGTGCCCTCGGCAGAGGAGTCGTCGCGCACTGGCAAGAAGGAGGTCAACGAGGAGATCGAGGAGATGACACTGAACCCAGGCGCCGAGCGCGTGATACACGTGCGCTTCATCCCCAAGCCCATGTTCTCAGCGAGCGACTCTCGCCAGTTCCGTCTCACAGCCAAGTCGTTCCGTCTGCTGCTCAAGTACGGAAAGTCCACGCTCAAGACCAAGCAGAAGAACAAAACGATCAAGGTGGCCAGCCGCGTGTGCACCTCCAGCTTCACAATCCCCACAGACATCAACCTCGGCGACTGCACGGTGGGCCAGCTGATCTCGCCCGTTGTACATATCACCAACCAGTCGGACCTGCCCGCGCTCATCCAGCTGCGGTACCAGTCCAAGGTCATCGCTTTCCGCCTCCAGTCGATCCCCATCCCGCCACGCCAGTCCTACGACCTGCAGATGGACTTCCTGCCGCGCAAGAACAACCCCGAGTACCGCAAGCAGATCACTTTTGTCAATGCCAACAACCCGGACAACACCGAGTATCTCGAGGTGCGCGCCAACAACATGGACGAGCAGTCCATCTCGGTGCACTCACGCTACTATCATCTCGAGACGCCGTTCTCGCGTAACTATATCGACTTTGATGAGGTCATTGTCAACTGCCCCTCAATGCGCACGTTCAACATCAAGAACACGTCCAAGTCGACGTTGACGCTGTCGCTCAGCACGTCGTTGCCCGAGGAGATCAAGCTGTACCGCGAGAATGTTCGCGACATCAGTGCCATACCCACGCAACTACAGATCACACGTCAGTCGCTGGTGCATGACTACATCACAAAGTTCTTTGAGGGCGAGGAGATCGACCCCATCGGCGCCAAGAACTACGGCGCGCGCAACCGTGGCGTCAACAGCCAGTACCTGGACCTAGCCCTGCCCAAGACCAAGTCACAGGTGTCTGGTGCCAAGAAGAAGGCCTTTGCCGACCTCCATCAGGCGCCAACAACGTCGACCGCGTCCTCCACCACCAACTCGCGCACCAACTCGCGTGCTTCCTCCCCAACGCACGAGTTTGAGCGTGGGCCGTCACAGCACTCCAACGTTAATGATGACACGTTCGACAGCGACACCACTGGCACGCACACTCTCGAGTCGGCCTCCTCCTACATGTCCACTGCGTCCAACCTCGGCTCATTCCCGCTCTCACAGCTGGTCACCTCATTCGAGGACAACACATTGCCATTGTTCACCGACTTTGAATCGGAAACCAGTTACATTCAATCACAGATAGAGAAGTACAAGCGACTGGAGATAATAGTGCAGTCGGGTCAATTGATGCCCGCCAACACAATAGAGTTGGCTTGCGACGAAGAGATCACAATCTACATTGTATTCGTCGTATTGGATTCCAAGCGACCATGGCTTGGTGGCAAGCTCAAGAACATGGAGGCCAAGCTATTCATCACATTGCAGAAGCAGAATGACAAGCCATTGCTCAACACTGCTGTTAGAGAGATGAATGTAAGTGTGCACTCAATCGGTCAGTTGATCAATCGATCACTTACTCACTCACTAAACTCAATCAACATTAGATCACTACCAAGGTGTGCAAGTCAATCATGGATCTGGCACAGAGGAACATCAACTTTGGAAGCATCGTTCAGTATGATTATCGAACAAAGACATTGGTCATCAACAACTTGACACAGGTGCCACTCATCTATCGCATCAAGAAGTCTGGTTCAATCACAAGTGGCAACCTCAACATTACAAGTATTGACAGAATGGGTATAGTCAGGCCATTCAGAAAGAGAGTATGTTTGTCAAATGAGTGCACTCAATCAATTATTCAATCCAATCACTAACCTCATTCAATCAATCAAACATAATAGGAAGTACAATTCGTATTCAAACCAACATTCTCTGGAATATTTGATGAGAAGTTGATCATTGAGAACATTTATGATAGTGGAAACAATCAGACTGTTCATATCAAGGCCAATGTGAAGAGGCCACGTCATTTCTTCTTGAACACACTGGACATTGACTTTGGTCCTTGCTTGATCAAGGGCAAGTCGATCACCAAGCGAATCACACTCACAAACACATCGACCCAGAAGCGTGTGTTCAAGATCATCGACGACACGCCCAGCACCTTTGAGAGCTGTTTGAACAAGCTGTTCTTCCGTCTGGAGGAGCGCGGCGCGCTGTCCATCTCCAAGGAGGCCGAGATGGAGATCGACATGTTGGAGCGCAAGCTCAAGATCTGTCGAAGAAAGGGCCAACACGAGAAGGCTCTCAAGCTCAACATGCAGATTGAAAAGTTGCGTAACTCTGGTACACCAACCATGCCCATGATCCCAATCAGCCGCGCAACATCACCTGCACTCGAGTCTGAGGATGGCGGCAACCCCAATCCATCAGCGGCGGCAGCACCAGCACCCTCGACTATTACCCCAACGACCCCAGTGTCCGCTGACCAGTCCAGCATGTCCAAGGTCAGGGACAACTCAATCACATTCGAAGTCGATGGCGGTGGCATTCAGAACATTTTGGTGTACTTTGCACCAATCCCCAAGCCAGGACGACGCCAATGGTACGGCAAGGAGGAGGGCACAGGCTCCATCCTCGTCTACGAGTCCAAGAACATCGACGTCACCAAGAAGCTCAACTATGCCGCGACAATCTGCTTTGACGAGGAGACCTACCGCCAGAACATGTCGCAGTCGGTGCTGGTCGATGATTCCCTCACCCGCTCGCCAATGGTGCCAGTCATCATCAGTCCCGCCGCATCGCCCAAGTCGACCATCGTCACGTCCACAGCAACATTGATCAGGCCCATTGCTGCCAAGCCGGCGGGCATGGCTACGACGATGCTCACGCTCACCCCGCCCAAGCTCGACCTTGGCGAGGTGCGTGTCTACGAAGACATCCCCTTCAGATTCACCCTGGCCAATCATTCTGGCTTCCGCGTCAACTACGAACTGACCATCGTGCCCGCCACATCGACGAGCATCACCAGCACGCCAGCTTCACCGCCAACCACCATGCAGTCAATGTGTCCACTCATTCTCAAGCAAGAGAAGCAGGGAGTGATTGAGCCATACGGACGCAGGAACATCGAGGTTGTGTGTCAGCCACAGTTCCCAGGCAAACAAACGCATACCATCCTCGTCAAGTCAAGCTCGCACGCCACCTTTGAAGCCAGCTTCCAGGTTACCCTCAGTCCTCGTCCACCCCAATACGTACTGTTCCCCGACCTCCCTTCATCCCAAATCCTAGACTTTGGTGACTGCTACTACGACAAGTCCAAGAAGTTCTCCAAGACTTCGTCCTTCCGTCTGGACAATCTATCACATGTAAGTTGAATAAGTGAGTGCGTGAGTGGCGCGACGCACAAACTAACGACCAACCAATCAATCAAACAAAGAAATCATTGTACATCAGTATGAAGTCCAACTTGTCGATGCAAATATTCATCTTCCAGGACGAGAAACTCACAAAGCCAGCGGACAACATATTCCTCAAGGGTTACGAAAAGTCGTTGGTGTACATTTGTTTGCAGCCAAGCATGACGTCCGAGAACTACATCGATGGACATTGTCGTGAGTTGGTCGGAGGTATCCGAGTCAAGGTGCACGACACTGAGCACCACAGCCTCTACGAGAACACCATCAAGTTCACGGCATTGGTCGGAAAGAGCATTATCCGTGTGGGCAAGACACTCATTGACCTGGGCTCCACACGCAACATTGGCGACACAGTTAGCGGCAGCTTCAACATTGCCAACGTCACCACTCTGCTCCCGCTGACCTACACGATCACCCACTCCAAGAACCTCAAGCTGTCTAAGGTCGAGGGCACATTGGATGGCGCAGAGACCCCGCACGGAATGTCCAAGGAGAGGATCCACTTCTCTCTGCACACCCCCGTCTATGGCCTTTACGAGGAGAAGGTCATCATCGCCAACCTCGCCTGCCCGGGCCAGAAGCTCGAGGTCAACATCAGGCTGCTGGTGGACGACGCCTCGCTCCTGACCAACCTACCACTCAACTCAAACAGCTGCGACATCCTCAAGTTCGAGGACATATATGTCGAACCACTGGCACAGCTGCTGCTGGACGACAAGCGAGCCACAGACTTCTCAATCTCGCGAGGTTACACTGACAGGTCGGCACAGGCCTCCCTGCTCATGCCATTCACCATGCGCAACTTCTTGAAGTACGACATTCGCATCTACCCCAAGAGCAACCTGCACTTGATACTCTTTGTTCATGAGCCATCGGTCGAAGAGCTGGCCTCTTCAATCATCCCAGGCACGCCCGATAAGCGTCGCTCAATCAGACTGTGTGGCAAGCCATTCGTGCTGAGCAGCGACCAGAAGATCATGGTGTACCCACATCCACCCCAGCCCGAGTCGTTGCTGACGCCCAAGAAGAAGACACTGCTGTGGAAGGGCAGGAAGGTACAATACCAGGGCACTCTGGTGTTTGAGCGATCAGACTCGACTCACTACCCCATCGGTCCAGCTGAGGGCCGCACGCACATCAGCAAGCTAGTCACAATCAGCGGCTCATACTGCATGTCATTGGGTGAGCTCACTGAGCAGTCCGTGGACATTGGCCGCATTGGTTACGAGAACAGCTGGAAGGAAGTCAGCATCATGGTCGAGATCCAGAACCTCTCCGAGATCCCCCTGCTCATCAAGATCATGCCGCTGCCGTCCAAGTCCCTGCGTTTCTCCAGCTCAAGCTCAGGCACGATATCCACAAGCTCGCAAGGTTCGCCACTCAATCTCTCAATGCAGGAGAACTTCACGGCCATCGACGCCGAGACACCCGCACTGCCAATACCCAGCAATCAGATATCAGTGTCGGCTGGAGGTGAGGGCGGCGATCAGAGCCTCCTTGAGATCGGCGCGTCCGAGTCCAAGCAGTTGCTGTTCGTCCTTGATCCCAAGAAGATTGAGCAGTCGACAGCCGGCCCACTCACTCTGCCCATCGACTTTGAGAACATGTACAACCGCCACAACAACATGCGCTACAACATCAAGCTACAGCACACATTGCGCGTCATCACATTTGGCCGTCTGGTCGACAACGAGTTCATTGTGCCCACACTGTACCATCCACCCACGGCCAGCTCGGCAACACAGTCGGACGAGTGGTTCACGATCGAGAACACTTCGAACAAGTCACTCAAGATCAACGTAGACGTCGAGCTACTGCCCCACATCCAAGAGTTGATCAACGTTGAGGTGATCCACAAGTCGAGTAATGCGCCAATTCCCAGCTTCTCGCTGCGCCCCTCCGAACTTATCGAGGTGCGTGTTCGTGCCAAACCCAAGCCCGACAGCAAGCTGCCCCAGCAATACGACCTGTTGTCCCAGTTTGGACGCATCTGCATCAACACCAACCTGTACCCCATCGAGGTTGTCCCCCTCCGCGGCTCCATTCTGCCCGGCCAGACCTTCTCGCTGTCAGTGTCCAAGATCAACTTCAACTCAATGGCCCGTCTCACCAACTCTGATGGCACGGAGGAGCAGTCGCTGCAGTCAATACTCAGCGACAACTTCAAGATTCGCAATCCATCGTCACACTTCTCGTTGCGATATCGTGTCGAGGCTCAGTTGCCCAACAATGCAACGCCATTCAAGTTGTCCATTACGCCCGAGGAGGGCGAGGTAGCACCCAATGAGTCCAAAACTGTGGACATCAAGGTGGAGTTGCCCGAAGAGGACATGCCCCCAAGCAGCACATTCAACGTCGTTGTCACAGCCATTGACAGCTTCAACAAGGAGGCACAGAAGCTATCAGTCTACATCCTCGGAGGTATCAAGCCCATCTCATCTCCTCCACTCTCATCACAACAACCTCATGCACAGCAACCTCAGGCACAGGCACCAACCGCACAACAGACCACGCCAGTGATTGAGAGTGCCGCCACACACGGACAGGCAACACAGCAACAACAGACCTCTACAACCACCACAACAGTAGCTCAACAATCTCCTGCTACGTCATCACCGACCAACACTCAACCAGTGGCACAACAACAATCACCAGCCAGCACTCAGACAACTCCTCCAGTCACAGTGGTTGCCGTCCCTACTGGCCCAGCCGCGCCACAAAGGATATCACTCAAGGGATGCACACCAATACCCAAGATGAAGAACTGCTACGAGATCAACTTGAACCAGCAGGAGTACACACCTGGCACCGTTCAATGGGAACTGACCCTGGAGAATGTGTCTGGCAAGTCTGTCGAGTACTTTATGTACACTACCAAGCAGACCGACGAGCAATGGCTCAGCATGAGCAGGAACAGTGGCAAGATCGAGTCACAGGGCCGTCACAACATCACGCTGACCTTCTCAACGAAGCGCATGGACATGTACTCTGCCTACCTTATCGTGGAGAACAAGAGCAATCCAAGCGATCAGAAGACCATCCACATCACAATGGACGTCGTGGCCAAGCTCAACACACACTTCAACATCATGGTGGACGGACGACAACAAGAGGCATCGCTCATCAATCTAGGCGACGTCTTTTACAACACCACATACACCGATCGTTCATTCATCGTGTCCAACACATCATCGATGCCACTGGACTTCCTCCTCACAACCAGTCTTCCGCCCACCGATCAGACCGAGGTCTGTTTCTCATTGAGCAGGTCATACTTGCGATCTTTCAACTCTCTGTATGTCAATGCCAACTCGTCGGTCAAGGTATTCATCTTCTTCCATCCATCGGGAGACACTAGCACGAGCGAGGACCACGCCGTGCAAAAGGACATCAAGATATTTGTCAACTGTAGATTGATCAGAGACTTCCAACATGTCATCACCCTTTTGGCCACGTGCAGGAACCCTCAGATACGTTTGTCAGACTACAACACAGTGTTTATTGGTCGTGTGATCACCAGAGACACCCAGCAGACCATCGTTGGCGCAGGAGATCAACATGATGAGACAAACATTGCATCGTCATCGCATGTTGTCGCAACACCTTCATCCTCAAACTCTATATCCACATCGACCAAGGACTTAAAGATGAAGAAATCATTCGAGCATTCCAGTGGACCACTCACAGGCAGCAGTGCAATCAAGTCATCGTCAGTGCCCAGCCTCAGTGTGCAGGGCAAGAAGCTACTTGTGGACATTGAGTTCCAAAACGACGTCAGCGACATCACCATCTACAACAACTTCACGACACCACTCAGCTTCTGCCTGCGTTCCAACCCAATGTTCTTTGTGATCAGTGGCATCAATGATGGCGTGGTGGCGGCTGGCGATCAATCATTCGCCACCATCTCAGTGCAGCCCAACATCCAGGTCATCTTGGAGAACTCCAACCTGCTGCTCAAGGAGAAATACCTTGAGGAGTACATCATTCTCTACAACAAGAACAGGCTCAGCGAGAAGTACGTCATATCCTTGCGAATCACAATTGGCAACCTCACAGCATTCTCCTCATCGTCGGGACTCAAGGGCGGTTATCACTACAGGAACCTCGAGTACGGTATCTCGCGCTTCAACAGAAAGTTCAAAAAGTTCTGGTGGCGCGTTGGCGGTCAGGCCGATTCACTACTGCTCACTGGTGGCGAGTCGGCTGAGGACGTCACGTCCAAGTCGACAGAAAAGATGAAGGAACTGTTTGAACGAGGAGCCAAAGAGGACGGCTACGACAAGCTTGTTTTTGATCTTCACCACGTCACCAATGAGCTCATCCTCTTTGGTCTCAAGAAGCAGGTTGGTCAACTTACATCACAGTTGGCAAGTCTGTTCTACTGGTATGTACTAGCTTCTCAGTAAGGATATATTCTTAGTAACAAAGACTAACTCATCCTCTCATACAGTAATTTATTCAAACAGAACTTCAAGCTAACTTCTGCGGCCAAGATCAACACTCTCAAATCGACGCCAATTGTTCAATCTTGCATCAAGAGTCTTAATGAGTTCCTTAGTTACTTCCCAGAGAAGAGAGAGGACTTGGTAGAGTTGCGCAACATCCAAGACCAATTCTCTGGCTCGCCTGCTCCTTCCACATCCAAGAATGACGATACACATTAAACCTAAAAAGGATTCTTCTAATATAATCATTGTCTCTTGATTAATTATTTCAATAGTTTGTCTAGGTAGGGTTCCAGTTAAAAGGATGTTTTTGTTTTCAAAACAAACCAAAATTTTTAGATATAAAACTAGAAAAAATGTTTTTATGGACATCAATTCCCCTTTGGTCTAGTGGTGAGGATTTTCGCCTGTCACGCGAAAGGCCCGGGTTCAATTCCCGGAAGGGGAGAATAACCTTTTTTTAATATAAAGAGATGTAACATGAGGAACTTCCAGAGTCGAATGATTCGTTTTCCAAAGTGTTTTGATGTCGCTTCGCGCACTCAATCACTTCATTCGTTCATTCATAGACAGTGGGTCTTCAGTTACTAACTGTCATACTCTCAAGGTATGTCCTCTTGTTACACGCAATCAATCATTAATTATATAAATAAATAAGTTTATATGATTCGTTCATTCATAGACAGTGGGTCTTCAGTTACTAACTGTCATACTCTCAAGTGAACGTTCAATAATATTAAGAGTACATCTCTTTATATTAAAGAGATGTACTCTTAATATTATTGACGTAGTCTACCCTGAGAGGACCTTCTTCACGCTAACGAGTCACATCCTGGCCGGACGACCAGTCAACATCAAGAATGAGATGGCCGAGTTCACTACCAAGCAATGCTCCGATAGATCGCACCTAAGGTTGATCTTAGGTAATATAAAGATAAACATCCTAATGAGTGCATCAATACAACAGGTATAATAGATCAGTTCAGTGAACTGAATAGGTATTTGTAGATCAAAGATAAACCTGACCTTTATTATCTTTAAATGATTGATTGATTAATTAATTATGTTGTTGTGGGATTATTTGTTTGGTTGATATGCAGTGGACCAGATCATGACATTGCGTTCAATCAACTCACTTCAGCTGGATATCCAATAACCAATTATTCATCATGAATCATATTGTTGGATTGAATGATACAAGTAAGAATTAAAAAAAACATTTATATTCGACGAGGGTGTAGTCTTCCCAATGATGAGTCGTGGTATACACAATTATTCATTGTAAAATAGATATTATCTGACCTATACTACCAAGATAAATAACTGAACTGTCACTTCAGTGAATTGTAATAGATACACCTGAATATTAACCTAATTAATGAATAGTTCAGTTACAGATCAAGGTTAATAACTATTCACCTGAACTTACGGAGCATTGCTACCAAGTGGCACCTCAGCACTCGCAAGTGCGACATCCGTCTTCCGCCTCTGCCGCCAACTATCAACAAATACTTGGTGGCCGAATTCAGAGGCCTACAGTAGAAAAGAAAAGAAAGAAAAAAATCAAGAAAATTCAAAATCGACTAACTTATATGTCTTGGTCCTGGTCTTGGTCTTGGTCTTGGTATTGGTGGTCTTTTTGGCTATATAGAAGGGATGGCCACCCAAGAGTTGGATGTTGGCAGAGTACGGAATCCGGTGGTACGGTTACGACCGAGACCCTTTTCTGGATGTTGATGATATTTTTCTTTATCTTTGTTGTACTCTAACTGAATGGCTGCGTTATCCCCAATGACTATGTAGCCAGATTTCCATGATTTCCATCTCTCGGAGCCTCCTCTTAATACGCCACGTGCACTTATATCGCTATCAACTGATATTAGGCCCCATTGACTATGCATATTAATTTCTGAAAGGTCACCGTTTGGTGCTACTCTTTGATTAAGGGGGGTGGCTTGATTCAAAACTATAAAAAAAAGCTGTGTAATAATATATATATATATTGGTATCATTATTATCTTTTATTTTTATATATATGAGCAAATAAGGCACTTGAAAAAAAGTGAAGTGAAGTGATTTTGATTTTGTTTGTAACCGGTTACGTTCTTCTTGCATCTGATCACGAACCCAACCCAAACCCCCTCACACCACACATTATTTCATTATTGGCTGCTTCATGGTAATTGATTGAGAGATAGAAATAATAGCTATGAATGACTATATGAACAGAAACAGAAGTGGTTTGGGAAATGCTATTAAAGGCACTCCGATTGCTACATCCATTGGCCTCTGGGGTGTTCGTGTATTGCTCTCGCCCCAATCAAAGACTCATGAAAGAGGACTATTCTGGTAAGTAATTGTTAAGCATTAAGCATAAGCACGACGTTGGTGCATTGTCGCATTGTCGCGTTGTGTTGTTTAGTTGTGATTCTTAATTATTAATTGTGCTATACTTTATATGCAATACCCAGGTGCAAAATGCACGATTGCGAGACTTCTTATGATGCGATTATTGACATCAGCGCTAGCTCTGAATTCCTTTATGATGAGTGGTGCCTTGTTCTCCTTGTTCAATATAAATGGATAGATATGCAATTGGTCATATATCAATACGTGGTAACTGACTTCCCATTCAAAAACACTCATCATCACGAAACCAGGCAAACTCATTGACCAATCTACCCCTTACTATTGGTAAATCAGGTGCCTCATCATCATTTGGGTCACTTTCATTGCACTACAAATAGTCTGCACCGAACTTACCCTAAGTTTTTTTTGAGTCTAAAGGTGTGTGAGTGTGATTGAGAGTGATCATTCTTCATCACTCAAACAGATATAATCAAACATATACACGTATATTGTTGTTATTAATGTTTGTTTGATGATCAACGAGTGTTGTAGTTGTTGCAACACATCGCTTGGTGGTCCTGCGCAGGTGTGCAGGACCCCCAGGCCATTTGAAACTTACCATGAAACGCAGATAACTCTACCATATGGTAGATGACCCGCACTTTTGGGTAAGTTTTTTGTTACGTTACCTCATGCAAAATGAACCGGCTCATGCACAACACTTCTTCGTTTTTCAAGTTTATTTGTGCAGACTATTTGTAGTGTGATGATTCAAAAACATATCATGGGATTTCTCTGCTGTCAAAAGCATACAGACCTCAAGACAATCAATTCCACAAGTTTGGTCTGTCGCGAATGGTATCACATACTCTCGAAGCAACTTTTTATTCATCTTAGAGTCGACAGTCCACACCTCTTAAAGTTCCTAATGTCTGTCATCAGGGGGCAATCAACTCTCGGGAACATCAAAACTCTTATAATTTGCGCAAATCCATTCGATGGTACACCACACAATCCATCAACGTTGGTGATGTTCACAAGCTTTTACGATGCCTTTGTTTGACAGACCATATACATGTGCAAAGTATTTCATTGCACGTACAAAATAACTGGTGTCACTTGCAGTTCATCACAGCCAAAACTTTTCCATACCTTCAGTCACTTACCTTGATTGGTATTACTTGCGAAGTTAAAGTTAAGACACTTATCGATAGACTTCCCTCATTGACATCCATCAATCTTGTATTTGACGACGAAGAAGGGATGGATACATTTGCCATTTCCGAGCTCGTCCAAATCATCAATACAAATGTCGGAATCCATTCCTACAGCATTCAACACTCTAATATATGGTGCAGAGAAGTGAGCTCCGATGACTTGTGTGAAGCGGTTCTTAACAACTCACTCGTCAAGAAACTTAAGCTCAATATACCGATCAGGAACGTCAAGATTCTCGACATTCTCCTATCTAGTCACCCATCTCTCACTTATCTTTCTATCCCCTTTGCATTCTCGTCCTTGGATTCAAGTTCCGACGACATTATCAATCTTACAAACTTGTCCCCTTCAATCAAGTCACTTTGTTTGTGTCAAGACCACAATCCCTATGATGGATTACTGCGATCACGATCTGTCACTGCAATAACAAGACAATTGACATTACTTTCTGGTGCCTCCCAATTAACATCGTTGACACTTGACTCATTCATTGGGATTGAACCAATACGTGGACGACACTATCTAACAGACATGGCTGTGTCATTCACGAAGCTGAACTTCTATTTATTTTTTTTGATTTTCCATTTTTTTTGTTGTCTTGTCTACTTGCTGAATGGCGGCTGTCTATTTTTCTGAATAGCGCTGTCCACAGAGATAAATAGATACAGATATGAACCTAGATAATATATTTGCAGCAGCAGATTGTCGCAGGGCAGTAGAGATGCATGTTGGTGATGAGAAGGTACACGATTCCGAAGCCGAGGACATTGAAGAGACAGAAGATGTGATGCTTGAAGCGTCACCTCTCTTTAAAGGTCTTACATTGAAACCAGTGCAGCAAGTTGTCAAGCTGACATCCAAAACAACACTGGAGATTCAAGACCTGTACCGTGACTGTCAGCCCGAGATCACCGAGGAAACGCACGACAGAAAAGGAAGGAAGAGGAAGATCAGTTACCTCGATAGTATCGTTCTCTTGTTGGCGCTCTACACAACTGCGTCCAAGATCCAAGTACTGGCAAGCATGGTCACTGGATGGTCGGCCTCAACAGTCCACGACTCAATCTGCATCAAACAAAAAAAAAAAAAAAAAAAAACAAAGCGCCGCGAGAG